AGACATCGTTGTTGATGACAGCAGTTGCTTTCAATACAGGAAACACTTGGCTTTCATAGTTTTCCCCTCCTTTTATATCTTTTTGACCAGAATTTAAGAATGTTCTCAATTCTTCTGGAACATTTGAGAAGCTTCTAGAGAATTCTCCGCGTGAGCCAAGCCTCTCTGTCTTGTGAAATAAGATTGTGAAACTCACGGGAAGAGTAAGTTGATAATGATAATTGATGGGGAGAAACTGAACTAATTAAGCATGTAATCTAAGAAACGGAGAGAGATCTTTGATGGGTCACGTCAGAAACATTTCCGATTATCACATTTCCATGAAACTAACGACTAAAGCAAAGAAAAATTAACAAAAATAAGCTCAAAATAACAAAAAAAAATTAGAAACTCTTTTTTTCAAAATTAAATTGGTCCCGACACGATTTCCACGTAGAGGGAAAAATTAATTATTCAAAAATTGGGAAGTTGAGTATACTTCGGCAAATGCGGTCGGATTTCGGATTGACAAGATTTTTTAAAACATTCCGGGTCGAATTCCGGATCGATCCGATTTTCTTTAATCGGATCGGATCGGATTAGGAGAAGTATGAAGTTGAGTGTCATAGCTTCACCTCCCGCCGTCAGACCTATTGAACACGTGAAGTTGCACGTACGTCGTACGACTTGTGATTCGCATTTCCTTGTAAGTTGGGTTTTTTTTTTTTTTTGGGAAACAGAGGATCGAAGAAACAGTTACATCGATGAGTAATAAACAAAGAATATCTAGCAGTTCCATCGGACTAGGATCGGAGTTTTCTGGAAGGTTAAAATCATATTCTTTCTGGGACAGTAACGGGTAGAATAGAAACAGTTTGTTATAAAAGACAATATACGAAAAAAAATTTTTTTTTGTGTATTTTCTTTTTCGGTTTTTTTCAACTAAAGATTTCTTCGCAAGCATTGTTCTCATGTAGAAAGAAAGTTAAGTGATTTCATGTGGATGAACAAATGAAGAAGTGATATGAGAAAAAAATTTATTTTCATAATAAAACAGCTATTTTCAATTATTTACAGTTTAAAAAATCTTTTAAAACATTAGTAACTCATTTGTTCATGTGATTCCATGAGATTCTTTCTTACTTCTACCCAACGTAAGTTAAGTTCAGTTGGATGGATTTCGTTATGATGTGTTTCTAATTTCTGAATGCGTGGTGTTAGAAGCAAACTTCTGCAAGATCGACGAACCGTGCTGAACGAGCGAACAACATTAATGAGTTGAGCAGCCATGGTACATCCTAACGCCTTCAATGATGAGCGTGTGGAATCGAAAGGCCGCCCTCCTTCCACAGGGCAGGAAATGGCAAAGAGAATAGAATCTCTCAACAGTTCTGTGTGAGCAGCATTCTTGGTGTCTACAAAGAAATTACAAACTGTACACAAATTATCAATAAACCTAGGTCAGCAATCATCTGATCAGCAGCTCGTGCCCAGAAAAGAGCCAGATTTTTGACTCCGTATAGTTTAGGCTGTTGTCTGATGTGATACTTTACAGTATATTACTTTGATCGCCTCAAAATCACCTGCAGTAGCGAAGCAATGACAGCATGGCTTGCTTTTTACGAGAAGAATACAATTTGTTTAATAGAGTATCGACAAGAGTTTTATCGAGAACATCATGATCCACAATTAAGCAGGCAGCCAAATGCCACAACTAAGACAAATAATATATTCTGAATGAACTCTAACAAACCTGAGGGCTCTGCCGTTTTGATGGAAGAATATATGACTTCACCAAAAGATGCATGTCTTGTTTGTACAATGCATCTACTGTCATGTCTTCACGAGCGAGCTCCAGCAATCGTCCGCAGTGTAATCTCTCGATATCCATGCTGAAAAGAGGCGATGACTCTCTCACGACTCCAATTATCACAAACTATAATTTATCTCTACTGGTCTTGGCAGATTCCAACTCTTCATTGGTGAACGATCGTAACAGAACACAAGTTACTCGAATCAACGTTTTGAATCCTCCCGAAATGGTGGAGATGTCCTGAATTGTATATTTAGAGTTTGCCAGCAACGAGTATTACCATTTTCTTTCTTTTGTAGTTACTCATGAGCTTTGTCATTATGAAACGTGCATGCTCCGGATTTTTTTCACGGATCAAATTAATCAAATGAACAACCCTGAAAAAGCAAATTCTTTTAAAAACCAGTTGTAAGAAAAACCTCGTGATAGTGTTGTCGAAGAACGGTAAGAAGTATATGTCATTCTCATCTAAACTAGGTCCGTTCGCCATTGTTGAGGGGGCAGACATGCCACCCATAGTCTAAAAAATTGGTTTGAGGAAAATGAGGCTTGTGTGCTACATACATCATTCAAATCTACAGCGAACCCAGACGATGATACTCCATCTTCGGGTATCCAGTTTACAATTAAATCCGATTGAAGAGAAAGTAAATCAACAGAGTTATTCACAGTAGCTAATTCATCGATGAGACCGGTTTTGAACTCTACAAAGATAGGAGTCAAGTAATGATGTAATGGAAATGAAGCTACTTATATCATTGTCGTCTGCCCAGTCAATAGCGTCGGAGTACAGATGGTTGATAAGCTCCGGAACATTCTCGACAAGTTCAGCAGTTTTGGAATCATACAATCCAGACTGAAATCGAAAACATTTTTGTGTTTCTCTGAATATGTTCCACTTGTTTCAATAACAACTCAGTTTTATATTTGTAAACTGTTTCTGTTAAACGCCTGATATGAATTTCCATCTCATTTCTTTCAATCTCCACTATTGGCTGAAAAAAAAGAACTATAGTAGTTTAGGAGTAAAAATTTACAGGGATGATGTTTGTGTTCGCAAGCCATCCTTTAGCAACGTCAACTCCCAATTGTAACAAATCGATTTTTGTTTGACCTGCAAGTTTTTAGTTAATCAGAATACAGTGAGTGTTATTATACTGAGTGGGATTTTCTTGAAACACTTCGAAATGCATGTGACAACCGTGTCCCTTTCCGAACCAACTAGTAAATTGTTGATAAAATGCAGTTCCTCTTGAGATAAATCATCACCCTGTCATTTCGTATGAAGACAATATTCAAAACATTCTAACCTTATCTGTACACTGCTTGCTCATCTTAACCACAGCTGATGATAACAACAAAGATCGTGGTAAACTCTTAGAAGCTTTGAGCCATTTCACCAATCTAACCACGGTTTGCCAAACCTATCAAATAGACGCAAAAGTCAGAAGAAAAACATGTAACTCACAGTTACAGTGAGCACAGACATTTCTGTCTCAATAATAGGGAACAGATACTTATCAATGTCCTCACGGCCATGTAACAAGAAGGGATGGAAAGGTAAACGTTTCACCGCCTGGAAGAAAAGTATTTTGAAAATGGGGCATTACTATCTACCAGTTGGGGTAACGTTGAGATGAGAATATCTTCTCTTTCATACTGAATGGCATCTTCTTGAGCTAACAGTAAACTTGAAGCATCTAGAATTCCAGAGCTTTCCTCGTAACACTGACGAACCATTGTTTCGTATGAAGCAACAACTTTTTTTTCCTAAAATTGGTTAGATCATAGGTAGCGTCTCTTCACGATGAACATACTCTGCCACTAGATATCTCGAACTCCCGATTCGCTTTTTGAATTATCTTGCTGTGATTCATGAACCATTTCACTTCAGCCTTGCAGGCAGTATTCTGACGTGGAGTGTCCACCAAAAACTCCAAAATTCTCTGGCATCCATCAACGAAACTAAACTTTGTATTAGAAAACTGTTAGTTATCAATTTGCTTACACTACGTGTTGATCACCAGGATCTACCATATTTGACATCCTCGAAATTACGAAATGTAGAACTTCATAGTTGTAAGGACACAAAACATAGATGAGATTTCGTAAACGGTCGAGCGCATCATGCTTTGGCATTGTGGATAACTACATTAATAGTTTTGAAGATCGAATATGCGTGCACTAACCCGAATCGCTTCATCTGCACATTGTCTAAGAGATATCGCCTTTTCTTTGTCTGTCTCTTCAGAAGATTGGAGAATTAATGCAACAGCATAATTTAAAAGTTCTTCATTAACTTTGGATTCACCACAGAACTCATGAACATATCTAGAAAAATGAATCATAATAGACAATTATGAAAATAGAACTAACTTTGAAACCAGATCAGGATCTACTTGTTTGGAAGCATATTTTTGTAGTACGACATCGATAGGATCTCGACCGACATTGATAAACACACCCAGCTTTCCCAATCGTTTTCCCCAAAGGCTTTTTTTGAAAGAATCCTAAATTATGTATTCGTTTTTCTTTTCAGATGTGACCTTTGAACTAACCGTGAGGGCGTTATAGACGTCTCTTGTTTCACTATTAATGGCAATGAACTGCATCACCCGTAATACATTAATCATAGTTTGAGGGGATTTACGTGTTGTTACCCATTTTCTTAGTTCAAGCACCAACTGTAACACCATATTAACAACGAATTATGTTAAATCTAACCATATGTGTGTCACTTGGAGATAAGCTAGAAATGAGAGCAGAAACTCCCCATAAATCACAGGGATGCATCTGTAAAATTCTTTCACACACATTTCTTGAAATGTTTCGTAAGTTCGATGACAAAGCGTGTCTCATATCAACACAAGGTTCTGGAAATTATATACGAATGTTTTGGTGGGAAGACAGGTTATACCTAGTGAAACAGAGAAGACTCTGAAGAAGAACTCTAGAAGATCTTGATTTTGCAGACTCAAAAACGTGAACAATTCATCCCATTGGTTCATGACGGTGTTTTTGTAATTTTCAACTACAGAATTCCTGAAATTATGATTATGCTTTGATAAGAAAGTTCGTGTTCCCTACGTCATATCCTCTGTAACTGCTACAACAGAAGGAGCTACAGCACACATTAGTGGAACGGCTGCCAGCTTCTCCAAAAGTGGACCATCATTGCTTAACAGATAAACACCGATTCTCTTGGACATCCCGGTCACCCGTCTGAACGATACTAAGATACTCGAAATGGAACTGGGCAACATACTCTGAGCATGATACATCACTTGAACTTGATTTAGTTGCTCGTTCTTCAATCCAGCATTGATCAATTGTCATAACGAACAAATCGAGGAACGTTGACATCTAAATGACCGGATAATTCATGATATGAAAAGAAACCCAACTGTTATGACATTTCTCAGTAACTCCATACTATGTTCCGTACAGTTATAGAGGTCGCTTAATACCATTCTCGTTTGAATAGCCAGATCAACAGCCTATGAGAAAAAATATAAGCCCATCAGATAAGTAAAAATAAAACCATATCAATGGCTTGTGGGTCGGCATCTTGAGGGCAAACTTCTGGAAGATTCTGCAGAACAAATATGCAACACTTGACTGTTAATTCAGCCATTTCCACACTGGGTTTAGCAACAGCTAACATAGCTTCCCTATGATATACATTAGGAAAATTGTGAGCATTGGACATTACCTCATTATACAAATCAGCCCATTGAAATTCTTGGATTCAGCTGCGATAGACATAGCTATCTGACATGCTTCGTCTCTCGACAATGAGAGGCATGACGAAAAAGCATAAATCTGTTTTCGAACCATATAAATCGATCATGACCATTGATTACCTCTGCTAGATTCCTTTCTTGTTGTTGTACAAACTGTTCAACCATAATTCGCTTCCAGTCCGAATGACAAAGACTACCAAAGACGGCCCAAATATTATATTTGGTCTATATCATGAAATGTCATAAGAAATAAACACCACATCAACCACCTGAAGTTTGAAGAGACAACCAACTTTTTTGTTTAATTCGTCATAATACTCGTCGTTCAATTTATATCTCAGAATCAAACTTTGAACCAAATTCATTTTATCAACTCTTTCATCGATAGTGATCTGGGGATTGAAGATCGACTATAAGTTTGAGTTAAATTAGAGTATACCTGATCTTTACAAACGACAGGATCATCAATCTCACAATAGAGAGCTTCCACAAGATTCTCGACAACCTCATTTTTTGTGACTTTATGTTTATCTTCTTCCATATTCTCTATGAAGTTGATAACGCACTGATAAATCAAGAATATTTTAGTGAGGACTGTGAAGTGATACCTTGTCGTCTTGATATCTCTGAAGATATTGAGCAAAACGAACGTACACATAAATTGAGTTTATACTGCGTGGTGGGCATTCGTTCAGTGATGAGTAAATATCAACCACCTAAAGATATACTCAAATCAGCTGGAAATAAGGAACACACCTTCAAGGCGTCAGATAATCTTTTCATATCATCCGGGTGGCGTTCTCTTCCTTGGAATACATACCATAAGAATTTACCTATGGTATACTCAGAAGAGAGTATAGAAGTCATCAAGGCTATTTGAACGCCATATGAATTCAATATCATGCCCAGTTCCGCTCTCTGGCATTCATTCTTGAGCTCTTGGACCCTATAATAGTACGTAGATCACAAAGTTGGAAGTCTAACTCACATTTGAGGATCAGTCAAAGGATTTTCTAACATGGAGTGAACAGCTTCTTTTAACTTCTTGCTCCAAGGTGGAAACGCTCCTCGTGCGATCATCGTTATAGCACGACATTTCAGTGGGAACTTTTCAATAGTGTGGCTCACAAGCAAGCATTGCTCGTCCCATGGGTTAGAAGCAGATACGACTCCTTTCGAGTGTGTGGAAACATCCTGAATAGACAAAAAAGTACAGTGATCAACTGGATGGAGCAACTTCGATATAACGGTAAAGAGTTTGATCAGGATTCAATCTAAACTCATCCATATATGGTCGTGCGAATTTGGCCACGTTGACGCTCAGTAAATTGGGATTTTCTATGGCTTTAGCCAGAATACGATAACAAATGGTTTCTGGGGTTAGGCTCTGAAATATCATTATTGCAATCCAACCATGATCATAAACATACACAGTAAAGCGAATAACTGAGATAGCACTGATACACTTCACGTAGTCTTTTAATTGCTCTCAAGTTACTAGCACACTCGGTTAACTCGGGGTACTTTCCCTCTTGCAATCCAATCCCAATCATCGCAAGTTCAGCCTAAGTGTTTTTAATAAAGAAGCAAAAAGTGGGCTTGTTACTTGTTTCGCAGGAGTAAATTCATTCACAGTTAATCGTTGAATTACACGTTCCAACAAGGAGGCAACATGTAGAGCGTTGTCGGGGAACCCTTGAGGAATATAATTCTCAAGAAACTCTACTAGCCTCAAAAGAGTGTCCACTAATGTAGGGAGAATCTAAAAACTTATTAAACTACAACAATCATCCGAGTTTACCGAATATAAGCAAACGCCCAGTCCTTGAGGCAAAAAATCAAACTCAAGGAACTCTATCAAATCTCTCCATACATCAAGACGTTCTGGAATTCAAAATACCTTCGATCCACCATCAGAACATACCATTTACGATTTTCTGAATAGCATTCATTACGTCCTCCACTTGTGGAAATTCTCCTTCATTTGTGACGAAGAAAAGTTCATCCGTTATAGTTTTGCCATGACGTCTCCAAATAATACGAGCTTCCTGAAGAAAAAATCACAATAGCTTGGTGAGGATTCCTTCAAACTTGAATCATTCCACAGCTAATAAAATCAAGGAAAATAGAGAACCAATCTCCAGATCCGCCAGTTCCTTCAACAAATCTACTCCATAAAGAATCTTCGCTGAAATCCGCAGTTTCGATTCCCATTACCATTCGATAAGTGGCCAGCACATAGGCAATGCTATCGAGACGGGAAGCAGTTTCAACATCTAAATCAGTAATACAAAAACATTACGTATAGAACTAATACCTGTTATAGCTCTTTTCTTAGCATAATCTAATATTGAAATGATATGATCATAAACTTTGAATGTGGAAGCAGCTGAATAACAATGCTCGCCAACCTGTAAGAAATTTATATAAAGACACACTCAGAGAAAAAAAAACCAAGTTATGATCTTCCACAGAGTCCATGCTTTTGATTAAGCTGCTGAAAACATCTGCACCATGCATTACACTCTCATCTAGTAACTGCTCCATTCGTGAAACGTGTACTTTCTAAATCAAAGTTTCGAATGAGTATAGAACTTGTTAAGAAACCTGGACGTCGAGTCCAAATTGAACAGCAAACTTTTCGGCTTCGTCTAACTGACCCCTAGAGATCAGTCGGGCTAATCTTTTTTCCGGTTGAGCCTCAGAAATTTCACGAATCTTGGTATTGTTGAGGGAAATGCTGTAAGAAAAGCCTGTGCGTTCCACATAAATAATTTTGTTCCAACCTCCTTTGATCCAAAGCAAAAGGTTCGATAAGAAGCATGACTCTTTCATAGTTAGTTGATTGGAAAACAGGAAGTGCTACCGTCCCTTCTCGAACAGCGAGTGAATAAGTAGGCTCAAGCGTCTTCAGAGAACGGACTTCTAACTGAAGTAAAATGAAAATAGCTTCTACTCAAAATGAATCAACTACATTGGTTCCCTTGGATGACTGAATAATAAGTGCAATGAGAGAGTGGGAGAATTCAATCTCAGATTGTTCTATCAAGAGAAAACCATAGAGGCTCGAGTCACTTTCATCCTACAAAACCAAAAAGTTTTTTTCTCATACTCGGAACAGTTTACTTTTGAAGTGATAACACTTTTCTTAGCCACAACATATTGAGTCCATAAATCGCGGAGTACAAGATCACCATTAGAAAATAGTTGAACAAGATAATGGCCATTACATGTTTCTTGTTGCTGAATTATTGATGTGTCTGAAATGATATAGCGGTTAGAAAATCAACAAACAATCGAACCCTTCGCAAGTTTCATGAAATTAGTATAATCAACCGTATTTGAAGGTGTCATAAACACATCACTAGAGTCACTTCTAACACCCATTATAGAAAGACCGTTGTTAACTATCGTTAATTGTGAAAGGAAAGGTCCAGTGTGATCACTTTGAACATCTACATTACTGAAGAACTGAAAGAAAGGAAGTTATTAGAAAGGTGTAACGAAAAATCACTTCAGCCATATTGTTTTGCAACTGATCAGCTGTAGCATCAAGCAAAACTTTCCACTTGGGGAATTTGATGATGGTATTTGAGGTGCCGACCCCAGAAGCACTTATGACAACCAAACACTCTTCCCCTTGCTAGAAAAATGACTTTGATCAGATAGAGTACTATGGACCAAACCTCATGAACTTGCAGGGTGGCTTGCTTACAGACACCGGAGCTACCACTAATATTCTAAACAATATAGTTCTTAAGATGGAAAAAACAAAAACAGACCAAGGCAAAAATAGGTACGCCGAAGTCAGCTGATATAATGAAGAATTGATAGTCAGATGTGAATAAAGCAAGATACTGATTGTTTCCCATCCATTTTACCACTTTGGCGACGCACCCTTGACACTTGCTCTTTAAAGCTCGTTTTGAAAACTCAAATACCTGTTAAGGTGTGAGAAAAATTGTAAGTGAGCTCATAATCGAATTTAAAGATGCTTATATCACTTTCAATGGCAATGCACAAGTATGAACAGTTAGTAGAAGATAAAACGTTAGGAGTTGGTAATGAGTTTTCAGGACTCTCATTTTCTACATTGGATTGATCATCTGAAAATTTCTAATGATTCACAGTTCTTCAGATTATTAATATACTTCCAACAGTAGCTAGTGTATTGACCTCGTACAGATTTTCAAGAGCGGAGAACTCAGCCCTTCTTCCGAAGTTTTTTGTCTCCTCTTCAACCCTATCGACAATTACAACATTGGTATACCCCATAACGGCAAAAAACCTGTAAGTATACTATTGACAAACGTAGAAGCTCAATATTCACGAATTTGGAAGAATTTAAACACTTGCGAAGTCGTATAGTTGAAAAGATTTTGAATTGCCTTCACATTTTAAATATTCGCGCGTTTTAGAGACACACGACTTATCAGCTACCGTAACCCAAAATTATATTTCAAAATGTCTTGTTGAAATGTTCTTCGGTTTGTCATCCAAAATTTTCAACTAAAATATATTTCTTGATGATTTGTGATGCTGCATTCAAAAAACAGCTTTTGACTTGTGATTGAAATCTATAGAATTTGTTGTTTCGTTTTAAGTTTGATTGTAAGGATGAAAACCAACTCCATAAGCTTAGGTAATGATGGGTCGCAACTTGTGTTGAATAGAATCATCTTGAACCCATAAGTGCAATATTGTTTACTAATCACATTCCTTAAGAGAAGAGTGTCAATTTTCATAAGGTGAACACCCGATTGGCAGATTGCGTAGTCACAGGTGTGAGGACAGGGAATGCAAAGAAACCGCCAACTATTAGCTACTTGTGTGAACAATTAGTGACAATTACAAAATGAAAACATCAAACACGGGAATGCCGATGTAACAATTGACCATATTATCCTTATGTGCAAAGATTCTTTGGTATAGTGTGAAAATTCTATATGGTTCATTGCGGCGAAGTATCGTAGTAGCTATACAGTTTATGTTGACTTCTCATACAAGCATCAAGCTGTTAAGAAGGAACTGCAATCTTGTGAGTGAGAATTTGAAGTATTCATTAGCTATATTGGAAAATTTGAACGTATTGCAGAATACGGAAATTATTTTCAATCAGTTCTACCAGCAATGAATCCTAATTTCCCTATATTTTTCTTCTAGGCAAATTATAAGTTGCTTCGATTATTATCTCAATTGAAATGACAGGTTTGTATAACATGAAATCAATTATCAGATGAAACAACTACTTAATATGCCGACGCTATCATAGCAAAACAAAAAGAAATAAGTATATAGCAGATGGAGCCAGCTTAAACACAATTCTGTATCGGCTGCTATCTTTTCTCAGAGGTTCTAATTATGGTACGCAGTTCCGATAAATGCAACAATAAGGAGATAAATAGAAATATGAACATCCATGTATCTGGTAGAATAGCTGAATTTACTCTGTCGTTAACAAAATATAAATAAGTTGACAAGACGTCCCGCAGGTACTCGTCAATTGTCTGCTAATTGTGTTAGAACATCCTTTTGCTGAAGCGGCTTTCTACAAACTCTAAAGCCGAATACTCGGTGGGGGTCGTCTGTAAATGATAGGTTAGTTTCTCAAAAAATATGTCTCTGTACGGTCATAAAGAACTTCATGGGAAAAAAACGTTTACTCCATTAAGTCGTTCTTGATGCGCCCGAAAGCACATATCTTCAAACACTGCTGACTCATAACTACGGAAACGAAACATCCTTGGCTCATTGAGTGAGTAAAACATTAAGCCATATACATTCTTCATAATGGGAACTATCTAGGGTTTTCAATGATTAGTAGGTTGTGAACACCTGCGAACTACTTACAAAGCGATTGCAGCCAATGGTTCAATGAGCCGTTAACTGACAATGAGGTGAACCGTGGATCATCAAACCTGTCAAATCTGAAGAAAATTTGTCCGAAGAAGCTGATGAGCGTTTGATATAACAACAATTCATTTCTGTTTCCGTCATAAAGATTAATACTTAATCTTACAGTGCTTGTTATAAGGTAACGAACTTATGAGGATATAATCCATCACATCCTATTGGCGTAGTTGACAGGACGAGGACAACTTTCCAATGGCATCCCCGTACTGTCAGCATGCTGATCTACCTATTGAATATCCAGGGAAGTTATACAATAGGTTTAACAGCATGATGCTTATACAGATGATACGTCCTGCTTTAAGCATTTCTTCGAATATTTCGTTCTGTAACCTATAACTTCTGAAAATACTAAATATTTTCTATTAGAAAGAATAAATTAGAATGTTTATCTAGTGAGACCAGCAGTCGACTGCCAATCCATCAAAATATCACAAGTCATCACAGTAATGACGCAACCGTGATATTCTTACAAGGACATCTTGTTAAACCATTTTCTACGCCTCTCACGAATCCATGGAGATAATAGAGCTCTTGCAAAGAATTGAGATTTGCTAATAGAGCCAATTCCATAACTCGCTCCTAGTAATTTCAGTCGATGACTAATCTCTCCAAAACACTATCAGCATTCATCGTATTGATACACAATAGTAAGCTATTTTTATTCTTCTTCTGAGAAACAGCATTTTTTCAGTTTGGTGCCTGCTGGTTGGGTAATGCTAGTAAAATGCCCCGCCTCCACCAACCTTTCCTACGATAGCCGATGATGGGATATTACCTCAGAAGAAGGCGTGGCCATTGAAGAACAGGCTACACAGCTCATTCTAACACTTGAGATCTGTCAAGAGCTTTGTCGCAAAATATTCCTAAGCTATGACGAGTTTAATAAAGACAGAAAAAAGCTCATCCTCTCCTTCTACATCTCCCTCACTTCCAGTATCTGTTAGTCAAGCTCCATTTGCAACACTTTCCACTACTCTACAAGTAAGTTCGTTTCATGCAATTGCCTAATAATAACTTTTAACCATGATCTAAATGAAAGTAACAATTTATTTTCTACAGGATGATTCGAACACTGCTTTGGGTAAACTGATGGAGCAGTACAATCGTCTGAAATCAGATGTATGTTATATTCTTACATGTTCATCTTTGTTCAACAGACACTTCTTTAAGGGTGAACGAGTAATGATCACAAGCGATGTACAGTATGCTGCTTATCCAACTTGGACTACATCACCAAATTGGTTTGTTTTTGCTTCTCTTTACATGAAAGTTTATTGAAAAGTGAGCTATAATAATACAAATTTAGGTGGGATACAACATCAACCTTCACTGCGTTCTCTTACGCTCCAGAAACTGCTGCGACAGCTTATCCACCTTACTTAGCTACTCCATTGAATATTCTGCAAGCAGCAGCGGTACCTGTTACTTCAGCCTCCGCAACGTAACTATTTAACACCATAAAGATTTCTTCAACAAAGCATTTTAGGTTAAACCCTCGTTTGCTCCGTCAGAATGCTCCAAACAGCACAACGACCAGCGCTCCAACGGCAAATAAGTACAGTTCTCGAGGAAACTGTGAGTGCCCAAATTGTGCGGAAGCTGAACGTATCGGTATGTCTCATTATTTGTAAACTGAAGACCTTGTGAAAGACATTTTTTCCTATTGAATTCCAAACTCAAATGCCCATGGCATGTGTAAAAAAGACCCTTCTCCTCTTTTCAAAACCCGTTGAACTGCTATACACGAGTTAGAGCGCGTTCAAACGACAACGATCATTTGAAAACAGTTAGCCGTCATGACGAAACCTACAATTATAGAAGCACATGAAAAAAACTGGGATGGCTTTCCATTTTCTTCATCGATGTTTTCTATCCTCCATCTAGGCTTAAACAATTCTGTCCATCTGGAATTAAAAGAATGATAGAATAGAGTTAAAAATATGAAGAGCCATCCATATTGAGATCGTCACACCTTAGATTATCTTTGCTACCTTTTCCTTTGTCATGTGCCGCTGGGAATCTGTCTATACGATCTTATCTGAAACGCAGAATGAGCCGATCATGAGACCACTTGCAGATTCGAGATTAAAAGAATAATGAGCTAACTAAGAGCAGGTGATATCCTTCCCTACAGCTTAACCAGCTCCATACTTCTGTAAACGGAACTAATCCTTATTTATCCTTACCCCACCTGCTGCTACTGTTATTCTTGGTTGTTAAATAGAAGAATAGCATCAAAGTGAGACTTGTTCGGACTAGATTATATCTCAAAGCTATGAGAAGGTTCACAATCTTTCTTCGCCTATCCATGACCAGTGCAAGTGAGCACTAGGATATGAGGTCATTGACTTGGCAGATGAGATATGAAAAAGCTATTAACGGACTCTTTTTGGGTTGGTTGTATATTATTATTATATAATTATCAATGAGCTCAGCGAACCTCGAGAAAAAAAAATGAAACTCCAAGGACGTTAATGTATCTCATCGCACCTCCAGACAAATAGAAGAGTTCATCTTCACCTAATTCTGAATCAAATCAGGAGATTTCCATTTCCATATTCCTACTTTGTGCAATTTCTTGAAACCAGAAAGCGAACGGAGGTCGAAAGTAGCTTATGTAACCTATCACCTGTCTTCAGCACTCTCTGTTGTTTTTTCTAATTCTCTCTATAATACAATAATTAGATATTCCTTGGTAGATTTGGTAACTTTTGCGCAATCGAAGCATTTGGTGAAACAATACAAGTCAATCCTTTTCTAAGCTCTTCCTAACCTTATGTCAATTACGGTCAACGAGCAGTTGCACACCTAAGTGTCAGGACCAAATTTCTTGACAGCGACAGACAAGCGAGCCATCAGAGTAATTTCTTGTATTTCAGGAATCAACAATGTTCCGATGAAGAAACGTAACATTCACAGTTGTCATATTCGTGGTTGTGGAAAAGTTTATAATAAAAGCAGTCACTTAAAAGCCCATCTTAGATGGCATAGTGGTGAAAGACCACCAGTTAGTAAGTTTAAGTTAATTTTTTAATTTAATCTGAGGTTCTCGACCTATCCATCATATATAGTAATATGAGAAAAGAACATCACTGATCCAGCTTAGCAAAAACATTACGTGATTAAAATACATACGATCGTTTTTCTTTATAAGCCATGATGACGCCATCGCTTAGAAAAATTGTTCTGGGCCAGGGCACCCAAACCTATCATTAATTTTAATCTATTAGCCTTTCTTCTGACATACTAGGAAACAGAAAAAATTTTCAAAAAATATACAAGTAAAAGCGAATGTGATTTTATTCTTTTTTTCAGAGAAAGCTGCCCGGTAAAGAAACTGAGTACCTGATATCCAGATATTGATCTTTCCAATTTTTCAAAGAAGTCTGCTCCGCAGATGCTTTCACTTTAATAATTTTGTTTTGTTTATTTTTCTTTTTCGTCAAGAAGTTCTCTTAGATGAGCTTCCTTTCAAGAATTCTCATCTGTTTCGAGTTTTAATTTTCCTTTTGATACTCCTAGAATGAAGGAGACACCTTCGTCGCTACAAATGACATGTGCAAACTGAATTCCATTGTACATATTGAATATTTGAGTAATTAATTATCAGTTAAATAGTAAATCCAATACAATTGTTTTGATTTTTATCGAAGAACTTTGACATAAATTACGGCTGATATCAATGAATAGATGTGACACCGAGTACACAGAATTACTTGTAAAAACTGCGAAAATTACATATTGAAAGTAGAACCGTACATAGACTTTAGACACATGAATGAACACAACTCAGGTATTCGCTACGACAATAAATTAAAATCAACAGCCTTTGTAAGCAAGGAAATAAATATTAAAAACCACCACGTAGTGCAAGCACTAAATGGAGCACTGATCCTCCTTGAACCTTTAAAGCTTAAGGTAAGTTGAACAATGAAAATATGAAATACCTTATAGTCAGCAGCAGTTTTGTCATCATTCATTTGCTTACCAGCAAAAATTAAACGTTGTTGTGGTGGTGGAATACCTTCCTTCTCTTCAACCTATAACGAAAATAATATTGTGAAATAGGCAAACGTTGGAAACCTTTTCTTTAATTCTGTCAACTCTGTCATTTGGTTCAATATCAAGTTCAATTTCTTTTCCTGTTAAGGTCTTAACTTTGATCAGCATTTCTGAATAATGAGAAGATATTCTTCGGGAGAAATGAATGAGACAACCGAACTACAGTTTGAAAAAAAGGTAATTCGACAAAAGAACGAAAAAGTGGTGATTAAGCGGTAAAACACTTAAAATCATCATACCAAACTAACAAACAAGTAAGAAAGGTTAAAGAACCCACAAAATGTGAAAACAACGTGCGTAATTCATTCAAATATAAATAATAATAACAAAAAAGAAGCGAATTTGAAAATCAGAATGATTTTAAATGGTTCATCTCACTGTTAAAACTATGCGTCTATGTCCCACTGTAGCACTCTCTCAAAATCGCGCGCTGTTTCTTCTGCTCATGCTCTCACTAGCTTAGCGTCTTGTGATTGGAGCAGCTTTTTATTCTCCACTGGTCACTTAGTGTCATCGGTCAGCTCAGTTTTTGAATGAAGTTTGAGCTTATACCATACTTACTACCGTTCCCCGCTTAGTAACAATTCTTCTCTTGTTTCCATCCGAAGTTCGGTTTTATTTGTTTTATTTATTATTTCTCTATTTTGTTCAAACATTCCGAAGTTCCCTTAACTGTTAATTTTTGACACTCTTTTTGAACAGCTGCTCATCAATGGTTCTACTTTCTCGTCAAAGCTGAACTATGCCTTAATTTCGTACAATATTTAACTAATCCTCCTAATATTTTTGAGTTTTCAGGCACCACTTAGATTTTTTAGTTTTCAAGCACAGTTATCGAACACTTCATAATTTTTAGTGCATTAGATATGGGCACGATATGATTGCACCTACGGTTAGTTAAACTTAACTTCTCTCCCCCACGATACAGTTTTCTAATACAACTTTGTGTTCTATCTTTCAAAAAGTACTTTTGTCGATGGTGATGACGATTGACAGATGGGATATGCTTTGAATTCATCTTATAATTGAAGGACATTGTCATTGACAATTGTTGTGTGAAACTTATATATGTCCCTATATGTCAAAAATAAACTCGAGAGATCTAAATCATAAGTTAAACTCATGGATTTGCAGTCCACTCCCGCTGTTAAGGCTGATGATATTGTTCACATCTTAAGAGATCGTATAGCTCTTCAACCAGGTTGTCGAGACCGATATGGTCGTGCTGCGTTATTTTTTCCCTCCATCGTGAGTGTTTTTTTCAATTTTTTTTTACACTTGGTATTCAGGAACAAGTCATAAGTGCCGAAAGCATAAGAAACGTTCTTCTTTATCTCAGTGAAGTCACAGAGTTAGTCATCAAATAATCAGTATTTAAAGAGTGTTTCATATTAAGAGATGCATCACGGCAGAAAGGATTCCTCGTTCTTATCGATATGCGTGGGAAGCGTACCTGGAGTACGGTAAAACCACTATTGAAAGGAATAGAGGCGAGTGTTTGTTTGTTCATGGCTTTTTCTTGACACTCCCTTCTAAAAAATAACTTTATGAGGCTATTTCAGGATCTTGGTGAAGTAGATACATTCTCTGTTCATTCCGTTTTAATTATAAAACCGGAGAAGTTCTGGGAAAAGCAAAAGGCACAAATATCATTAGGTTTTTTAAGATATATTGACGGGTAACCAGTCTTATTTAGGATCATGGTCATTCGAGGTTCAAATGATAAACTTCGATCAACTGAATAAGTTCATCGAAGTGCAACAAATACCACGAGAGATTGGGGGAACTTATCCATACGACCATGATGAGTGGCTAGAAACTCGACTAGTAAGCAAAAAATGGTTTTTTTGAGATACAAATGTACGATTAAGGAATTGGAAAAATGGATTTGGCAAATGACTGAGATTCTGCGTGGGTTGTCAGTCCATGAATCCACTATGACCGATGGAGAACAACCAGTTGATGTAGCATCTGCGATGGTTGTTTAATTGTGTTGATTAGATTTATTTTGATCTAAATAGAGAGCAATGGAACAACATCATAGGATACGCAGTTCCATCCAAGCCATTCCTTTGGACCGCATAAGAGCAGAAGCAGACAGGGTTCGTACTTTAACTGTGCCATGAGTTCTAACCCATACTTAAGATTATTGGAAGGATAGACAAACCTATATGTGGAGCTAGGAATCCTGATTTAGAAGCTGCCAAAGTTAATATACGAAATCTAGTTCACTCATTGCAAATGATGAAGTATGTTGCTAGGAATAACATTAATCTGAGTATTGTACTACAGGGAAAAAGTGTTTACATCGTGGGAGAAGCGGAATTCAGAATTAGGAGTCATACATGATTTCAAACTCTATGAACAAGATGCTGATCGAGTTAGTTGCTTTTCAATTTTTCTCTTTCTAATTGTGGAACTCGTTATAGACAATTAATTGGATTCGCACTCACAGTAAAGTTTTGAACGAACATATGAGTGACATAGGATCAAATGAAAGAGAAGCTTTAGAACGTCTTCAAGAGTTTGACGGCTTCGAAACATCCGCTAGGGTAATAAGAGATGATATGATGAACTGATATTGATTAGTTTTTTAGAATAATGAAGTCAGCGTAAATCAAGTTTGCACGAGAGCTAATCGGTTATTGGCGGGAACTACTCCTCAACACAGAGGCAAAGTAGAGCGACTTTCGTTATGCTTGAGTCGTGATTGGGAGCAATTCAAGTCTTTACTGGAAGGACGTAGGAAAATTTTAACAACTGCTGTTGCTTTTTTCCGCTGTACGAGTCAGGTAAAATAGCAAACTTAAAACAATAGTATTGGAAGAGTTGTTCAGTATTTTTCTCAATACTCTTGTTGGCTGGAAAATCCTGGGGTCAACGTAGAATCAGTAGATGGCAATGATCAAGGTAGTTTGGATGATGCCATTAATAGGCACCTATCTTTTTGGAACCAAGTGGAAACGGTTTATTGTGAAGTAATGCTTTACTGTCTTCATTTTCTCAATTCTTCATTTTTAGGCTGTGTCTCAATCTAGTCAATTGTTACAAGCTCTGAGAGGTTGTAACGCCGATGCATCACAATGCACAAATATGAATACTCAACTCACACGATCTCAAAAACAGCTTCACGATATTTGGAATACCAGAAAGGTATTTTATATCCATTTAAATCCAAATGAGCTGTTGCTCTCTTAGATGAAATTACATTCACTGCTTGCTTTCATTGCTTTCAAGTCTGATATAAAGCTAGTAATAGATTGGCTCAATGAGCACGGTGACACTTACCTTAGAAGAAACGTTAAAATCGGTTTGTTCATTTTATGATTGGATCAAGTTCTATTTTTGCATTTTAGGTGATTCTCGTGATTCTGCCATCCATTGTCAGAGAAGTCATAACCATTTCCGTAGAATAGCAGAAAATACTTTTCTCAATGCTACAAAACTGTTCAATGCTGGGGTTGTTATTGTGAATTCGGGTATCTCTAAAACTCAATAAACGGTTAAAGCTGACGAAATTCAGGTGTTGTCGATCAGGAACGAATGAGAGCAATTTTGCGAGATCTAGAAGAGCGGGTTCAGCGTTTTACAGCGCGATTAGAAGCCAGGTTCATATTTAAAAAGAATTGTTATAATCATTCTCCTTAGGAACAAGTTGCTCAATATGTCCGTTCTTTTCCATACCCATTATAACGAATTGTTAGACTGGTATGCAACAATGGAACGTAAGTATGATAAGTCTGTAGCATGCACGGTCAAAGAATGCAATGATAATAGAGAACAGTGGATATTAGAAAGCGATGGAACAGCTCAGGTATTTTAGTGATCTGGCTCAAATCTATCTTTTGCTTAAGGCTTATGCCACTACAATGGGGGAAGGAAATGATCTCATAAAAGAGCTGCAAAGACAGCATCTTCCTCCCGATTTCGATTTCTCCGAAACCGTTCTTCATGTGTCAAGATTGATGGAAGCTATTGAAAAGTCTAATCATAAGTTATTGGAGCTTTGGGTGCCTCAACGAACTTTACTCGAAGTAGGAGCTAAATTCGCTAATTTTTTGGCAGACTGTGCTGATGTACTAGAGCAAATTCTGGTTAGTTGTTTTGTGAAATAATGGAATAACTAAGCAAGTATGTTCAGAGTTGGCGTAGAGATATGCGGGCGATGCTAGATGACGCAAACTTTGCTAGTAATGCTCATATTGTTCAACCGTTCCATGCGGAGAATACAAATAAAGTCAAGGAAGCGATCAAGAGCATTAAGTTATTTGCACGGGAAGTCTTACAGGTTGGCTAGTGTTAGTTTCGTATTGCTAATACTGTTTTTCAGTTCATACATGGGAATCAGTTCGATGACGTTAAAGTTAAAGGAAGAGAAGAACTTGTTGTGGATATGATAAGAAATAGTCTGCGACAGTTAGAGAATGCTGAGCAACAAGTTATGAAGGTGAGTGTTATATAAGTGTGAATATAACTTTTCTTAATTAGGTAGCGAAAGATGCCACGATAAAAATAGATGGAGCGGTTATTTTACGAGAGGTTCGAGCCATTTTTTTCTTCTATTACTTTTTTTTTCAGGCTATCGTGCGAACTGATGCTTTGGTCAAATTTTTCGATGAGTCTATAGATTGCTTGTACGAAAACAATCAGTTCCCAAAGAACTACGATGAGTCTGTGAATATGCTGGAGGATCATAAGAGGTTTAGGTCAAGAGTGTCTTCGTATAAGGTAATGACTACTTTTTAACATTCTGTTCATTAGAAGTTTTAAGAGCGGAGAATTAGAGACTTTTCTGACGTTTACTAACGAGCTGATCCGTGAAAATCAATCAGGTCGAATAAGTATTGAAAGGAACTCTGTTATAGCTTTGAATGAGGTATGCTAGTTCCTACTCGATGTTTTTATTATTTAAATTTAGAACGTCATATCGAAATGGCGTCTTTTAGTCGGCTTAACGGAAGAAAGAAACAAATTGTTATTGGCAGCAGTGGCATGTTTCAAAACTTATCACAAAATATTGCTTCCTTTGCTGAAGCAGTTGGATAAGGAGGAACATGTGGTACATTCTTGAGTGTTGGCAGCTTATAATTTTTTAATTAGGACGATTGGTGTCAGAAATGTAATACTTCGAGTACAATTGAGAAAGCAAACTATTTATCCAACTTAATTAGCCAGCACACAGAGTACAAGGTCAGCTGAAAATCATGATATTTTCAATGAAGTTTGTTTTAGGAGAAGTTTCTGAAAGGTTGTTCATATGCATTGAAGAACAGTGAGACATATTTGAAACATATTCAGCGCGATGCAATGAATAACCCCACCAAGTTCGATAATTAATCTTTTGAATCACTTCAGCTCTTTTTACAGATCTGAGAATGAGTCAATGATCAACGAGATGAAAAGTCATGTCAGGGAACGCCAATCTAAGATTATGGAGATTTGGAACAGAAAGAAGAGACATTTGGATAGGTGAGACAAAAGGTTCACCTCATTGTTTCAATGTTTTCTTTTAGGTGCTATCATTTTGTTTTATATCATGCTTCATGCTCCGAGATATTCGAATGGATTGGAGGTGAAGGCGAAGTATTGCTGCGCAATTTCTCTGGCAAAGTCAAGAATAGCAACGATACGGCTCTGCTGGAACTGTTCGTTAACTTCAAGATAATGGTTAAGGTATTATTGACAATCAGTTTCTCCGTTGCATTTTCCTTTAAGGAGAAACGTGCCACCATTCAAACGTTGTTATGTATGGGCAACAATTTGTTCACCGACGCCATAGAACATAAGAATGAGTTTACGGAAATCATGGATGATCTTAAGAGCAGATTTGAACAGTTCTCTCAGAAAGTCAATGATTGTGAAGTAGTTCTTAGAGGAACCAAGATCACGGTAATCTTATGGTTTTTGAGCGAATGCTCATATTTTTTACAGAGGAACGAGTTATCTCTGAATCGCCATTCGGATAGCAGCGTTGAGGAGAGAATGGATAAAGAACATGCCAAGATCACCGATGAAAGGAAACAGAAAATGATGTATTTGTTTATTTTCACATGTCCAATAGTGATAACCTATTTCAGGGAGCCAATGCAAGAGCTTATTAAATCAGAGAAAGATTATATCGAAGATTTATGCCGCTGCGTTCAAGTTTATATCAAGTAATAGTTCTCTTTTTTTCTTCAAAACTAATCTGGTTTAAGAGAGTATGATACCGCCAGCACATCTGGCACACTCCCAATCGCTCTAGTCGACCGAAGAAAGGAGATATTCGGAAATATGGAGCTTTTGTATAAATTCCACTCAGAGTATGTTTTTCTCGACCCACTTTTACTAACTTTCTCATAGAACTTTTATTGGCGAACTAAAGAAGTATGAGAACGAACCAGAAGATGTAGGATGCTCTTTCATATTATGGGTTGATTGTCTGAATGACTTATACACTGAGTACTGTGTGAATAAGGAGCAAAACGCCAACATAATATCTTTACCTGATGCTTTGCAATTCTTTGGAGTTTGTTTGTCGGCATGTTTTTTTTTTCATTGTATTATAATGTAGGGAGTGCGTGAGAAAAATAGTTTGGAGATCAGTAATGACTTGGGATCTTTACTCATCAAACCAGTTCAGAGAATCACTAGGTAATACTCTAGTTTTGTGAATGTTAATTGAAACGTACATGAAGGTATCGATTAATGATGGAGCAGTTGATGCGGAACAGTACCGAGAACGTAGAGGAAATAAAAGAAGCTTATGAGGTTGTTCTAAGTGTTCCTCGACGGGTTAACGATATTATTCACTTGAACTGCTTGGATAAGAGCAAGGTATCAATCATTTCTCACGAAAGATAATTGGTAAATTCTTAGCTCGGAGTATTGGGTCCTTTTGTAATGCAAGACTTCATGACTATATGGGAACCTAGGACATACTTCAAAAAAGGAAAAGAGCGACAGGTTCTTTTACTTTTTATTACTGCAACTCTATATATTCCTCAGGTGTTCTTATTCGAGCTGGCTATCGTTTTTGCCAAAAAGATTGAGATGCCGTCAAAGGCTATTCGTTATGTTGCCAAAGGAAAACCGATATCGGTAATAGATAATTGAACCAGTATTCATTGAATTCTTTATTATTCAGCTCGGCGAAGTGTCTGTAGTGGAGCATGTTGAAGGCGATGTTTCTCGATTTGGTTTACGTGTTGGAACAATAGCTACCAATGAGAACCGAACTGATTTACGTGCCAACTCTGAACAAGGCAAAGTTATGTGGGTCAAGAAGATCAGAGAGTTAACCCAAGGACTTCTTCCACTCGGTATTTCTATACACACAAATCATCATTATAAGTATACCTAGGTCTCAAAATGGGCATCGAAAGCACTAGTAGCCTTAACTCAGCTCCAAGCTCAGCAAGATCAGTTTCGGCCAGGTCCAATGTATCGTCTTCATCTGGAGATCGACTTTCTCGTGATGTCGAGTTGTTCTCACTGGAGAATCAACGGTTATCCATCCAAAGTACAGATAGTTGCGAGGTTAGTTCATTTTCACAACTGTTTTTTGTTAGATAGGGGGAAACTCGTAGTTATCAATATCATTATTTGTTTTCTAAGACGATTGATCAGAGTTAGCTAGCTTTAATACGGGTGGATTATATTAAGTATACAAGATTTATTCTGTTTACAATATGGCTTAGAGATTCCTGAACTTCAAAGTGTTGAAAATACTTAATCTTTCTCTTGTGGTATCTATTTTTTTGGCATTTTCTTTTCTAATCGTCAGTATATCGAATAGACAACATGCATCCAATAGATGGATGTGCCTGTTCAGTGGTGTAATGAGAGGTGAAGTCGGCTAGTAGTGATACGCGGCTGTTCTTTTTGTTTCTGCATCATCCAGAATCTTGCTCGGCCACGTGTTGGACAAGTCGTATAGAACTCTCGGTTCTACCTTTATTACATATTGACTGTCATTTTTTCTCATTATCTTTTCGTACTTTCTTGAACTTTTCTGATTGGTTCGTTATTCTCTAGTTTGCTGAGATTCCTCCAAATTTCATATATTCCTTTGAAGAGAATTGGAAAAATCTGCTTTCTCTCCAGCGAAGGGTTTACTCTGCACTTACTCTATTTGAATAAGTTCATTGACTACTCTATCCTGGCTAAGTTTTCCATACATTGTGCGAAACAATCGAGAACTATAATCCTTGATAAGCAGAATGTTCGAAAAATATGTTTGCTGCGTGAATAGAAAAAATGTAAGTTAGCTTTATTGGGGGTAATTGTATCTAACGTTTCTGTCATAAATATGCTTGTAGTTCGTTTATAGTTGTGGCGTACATAGCAGGATTAGCATTATAACTATTTTTAGAATTAGGCAAACATGAAAGTCACTCACATGCTGTTGTAGTGAGTGATGTCGTTCAGTCATGGAGGTGGAGGCGTGGCTATTCTGTTGTGTCCTATATGGCCCGCCTTTCTCTCTTTGCTACATGTAGACTAGTTCAAAGAAGTTTCATCAAAAGCGCATATCTCAGTCAAGCCTTTTATATTGATCAGTTTCAAGCTCTTGTTTCTGAGTTATTATGCTAACTTATTCGAAATCCTGGCGTTCTATACGCAATCGAACTGGAAGTTTATACTCTAGAGCCAGAACGAAACTTGCTTCTTCTTTCCGATCTTCCGAATCTCCCCATTTGAGTCCTCATCAGGTTAACCCTTCACCTTCTGTATGTTTTTAATAATTTTAAAACTGAGCACTATTACTTTCTGTTCGAATCTGTGACTTCAATTCGAAATTCGAGGCTTGCTTTCGAATTGATTTGGCTTTATTGCGACTGGGTTATAACCCTTTTATGATGATTCTTTATTGGATTCTGAAAATATTCCGGAGTGAATATATTACTAGCATGTTCAAATTAGAATTTTTTTGAATTCAGCTTTAATTACTGGTAATTGCACAAAGTTTTTATTATTGTCTATGCCCAAATAACGAAATCATGAGGTAGGAATAGTAAATTAAAGCGGGGGTGTAATGCTAATCCGATAATTGGATACGTCATTAAATTAAAAAAAAAGCAAATACTATGTTTCTTTACTCATTAAAAGGTTTCTGACTTTCAGCAAGGTGCAGATCAATGGATTATAAGCTCAGATTTCCAACCAACAACTGAGGGACAACTGGCTGTGCAGAAAGGCGAAAAAGTCGAAGTAAGTTTTTGGTCAGTTAGATGTGATTGCGACAAGAAAGTGAGATGTTTAACTAAAGTGGTAAATAATGAAGTCTCCCATGCTCAAATTTATAGAGCTGTCAATGCTCTGTCGATAGTGGCATTCATGGCTCATTCCACGTCGCTTACGATGTTAAGCAACTTTATTTGGGTTGGTATTCCAGTATTTTTATCTTCTTATAGGGTTTTATCCTGTGAGCTAGTTTTCAAGTAGCAAATTGTTAGATTAGTTATACTATAGTTATTGATTGGAGCGAACCTTGCGCGAAACTACCTGCAATTGTAATAGAATAGCTTGCAAAGCACAAACATTACGTTCGCATGCAAGTTTAATCTGCAGTCTGTTTCAAATCTTGATCTCGATGTGAGGAAGGGACTATAAATGGTGAAGACGAAGCTCTCGATGTTAGTGGTTAGAAAGTGGCCGGGGATGAGGGAGGGTTTCATGACAGGCGCGGAGGTTAATGTTTGTCTATTCTTTGTTCTATTGATTCAAGCCCACTTTAAAACATTTGAATTATTGTCATGAAATATATAGAACTGAGTATATGGTCTTCGGGAAAGTAAAAGTTGGTAATTATTTCAGATTGTTGAACAACAACCATCAGATACAACTGATTGGATTCAAGTCTATGTGGTCGATAATCCCTCTCGTACAGGACTGGTACCTTCCAGTATACTTCTTCCAGGTCTCGTTTTAACTTTTATTTTCGTTGATTATGGTGAGGGAAACAAAACTACTGTGCTGTACTATAATGAGCGAATAGTCATTATTTCGTTAAGCTGCAATTGAACACATGAGCTTAATTCTGAGAGGCGATGTGTTCACTCTTCTATCGGGGGTATTATTTGCATCATTTTCTTCCTATTTTGATATAGCTTATTGAATAATTGATGATCATTTCTAGATAAGCTATAATTTATATGACTTATTTACTAACAGAATTATATACAGACTACAAGTGAGAGAGAATTTAATAGTTTGCTATAGTTGAAAAAAGTTTATCAGGTGGAAATTAGGAGTGCTAAGGGTTTTCCGCTTGAGAGAAAAAGAAGCTCATTATTTCTTTTTTACTGGTAGATTATTTCAAAATACTCGGCCCTAGACGTAACAAAGTGATTATAATTCTCGTCTGTTGAATGTTTAATCCAGCAGTCAACGTACTAATTCTTTTTTGATTAACTTCTTCAAATGCTTCTTTCGACTATGATAGCAGTCTCAGAACATCTTTCCTTTCAATCAGCCAATTTTTATCTGAGAAGTGGGTGAACAATCCAGCTCATTTCCTGTAGTTTTACATAGCTGTATTATGAATAATAACTCTATGACTCTTTCATTGTATGTCAAACAATTCTGAGAAACGAGCGGAAATGAGCCTTCATTCTACCCGAATTCTTTCTAACCTCGAACAATTTTGTCTCTCGTTCGCTGCTATCTATTGTTCATGCTATAGATCATTTTAAGTGGTGGAAATACACTTTCTGGTCAATTGTCAGTTTTTCTTATGTTCTCTAAATTCTCTCTTTCTTTCCTCCGTCCGATCATATTGAAGCATCATTTGAAATTTTAATGAAGAAGATGCCTTGGCTTTATTGAGTTTCTGAAATTTGCTCATTAGCAAGTTCACTTGTCAATGGTGAAAAAGCTGACATATCTATTGAACAGTCTTATTCCGACGATCTCTATAAAGTCTGGGAAACCTCACTTGATTGGAGAAGTACAATATCACGGAATGGACGGAGTTATCTTCTTTTCAATCCGCTCCGTCATATCTTTTCGATGTTATACTGCTTGTTGTTTCAAATTTGGCTTCAAATGCAATTTTAGATAACACAATTGTTGGTGAAGCCTGATCTTCACTGCCAAATGTCACTCTAATTCTGCGTAACCGATGTGTACTTTTTAGAATCTTCTTCAACATAATTTTGCATTGGGAACTTGTTATTCCAAACTGTAATTAGCTTTCACCCTTTATTATGAGATAATGATTCCTTATATTCAGCACAAGCTTTAAAATTAGCTATAATAATGTCTATGTTCAATTTTGAAACTCCGAGTTTCAACAATGGTGCCTCTCGTAAAGAGAAATAGCATTTATTTAGTTGTTGGGTTATGCGCGTGAGGATTTTTTCTTTGAAGACAGCCAGCAACAGCTTAGTGTGAACACATAGCTGCATTGTTAATACGATTGATTCTTTTTGTTTAGTTTCTTACTAATTCTACCATTTATGATTTTAGATCCTCATTGATTAAGTTCTATCTTTTTTTAGCCGAAGGCTTACGTTGTGGCATGAGAAAAAGAAAATTATGAGAACATTCACGATAACAATCACTCCTTTCACCGCAATTTTAGTTCTTCGACAAAGTTGTCCAAATCATATTCTTTCAAGGAAATTCGTCCACTTGATCCGTGTACAGAATGGTTGCATTCATTTTAGATGAGACGCTTCAAATTCATTTTTTAACCGAAAATTTTTTTTTAAAATTCTCATTTCAAAAGATTATCATATTCCTTACTTCCGTAATCATAAGTTACTAGTAGAATGCACAGTGGCTGCATCAAACAAGTTGACAGGTCTTTGATCGCAATCTATCGATCAAGATTGTTGGAGAATCTACACTTTAAGTGGCTCTGCTTCCCACAGCCTCTGTTTTATTTTTCTTTACAGAGCACACTAGCGCTGTTTTGTTGCCTATTTTCATTAGAACGAAATTGAAATCTGTATTTTAGTCGTTTAACTTCAATTCTTATTCAAAATCTTGTAAAAGTATCGATTATCATTAACGTTCGACGATGCAGGGTTACCTTTAACTGTTATGTTGTCGAAAAAAAGTTTTTTCAAACGTTGCAATCGGAGAACATATGGCTTGGTTTCTAACTAACCATCACGATCCTATCGATCGTTTATTTGGTGGTCAATAGAGAGCTTTCCTCAAAAATTCGTCGTTTATATAGCTTACGTGTCACCGTGATTGCTGGATATGAATCCGTAGTGATATTAATAAATGATGGATTCGTGCTGTCTCCACTATTCAACTACTATCTTGTCCTCTTATCTTTCTCAGCCATGTAAAACTTGTTTTAGATGCACATTTTTTGATTTTTTCATATCTTATTATTCTTCTTCCAAGAAGTATTGAATGACCTAATAGAGCAAAGGATGGTAACGTCTACATCACTTTGCGCCTCTTTCTCAGTAGATGAATTTTGTCTGCGGATGCTGTTACTGCCACAGCTAACGAGTCTCAGTGGCAGAACAGTGTGCGCACTCTGCAAACAGACTCGAAGTTGATACAGTGTGAGCCACAGCATCCACGTGACGTTGATTTCGTTCAGCTTAATATTATATTGAAAAGTTGAAATATATGTAGAACTAATAATAACTGTTCGATCTTTTTCATGGTTTGTATGTAGTATATACAGTCTATGCGATGATCTTTGTCATCTTTTTTTCTCGCAAATTTGTTTCATCATCTTATTACAGCGGAGTTATTTTGAATGGTTTTCATCTTTTCCTTTTTACCAATTCCGCATATACAATTCTTTCAATAGTGAATATCGTTGCCTTTCCGTGCTCGGCTTAGTTTAATCTCGATATCTGAACTTTGCATAATTAGGAGATGATGCGTCGATCGCGCACAGTTGATCCAGAAGATAAAGAGGCGCAAAAAGAATCTCCGAAAACGGCAAGGGAGAGCGGTAGTAAGCGTCAACGCTGGTCTTTTGCTCTAAAAAAAAGATGGTTTTCTTCATCATCGTCCAGAGCTTCTTGTGATACATCGCCTACCGGTAGTCCAACATTGGAGCCTGCGGGCCCTCTATGTGTGCCCAAAAAAACGACTCTTGGTCCCACAAACAGTCTAGGTAGTGGGGAAAATTAAAACAACGTTTTGCATACTTGACTGATTTTCTTTTTTTTAGATCAACCCTCCTCCTCAACTGATCGTCCTGAACCTCTATCATCAAGCTCTGTGACGAAACGCAAATCACTCAGGTATGTAATTATGATATAATTCTTTATTCTTGTGCTCCTTTCTAACCCATCGCCAACTTCTATCAAGCTATCTTAAATTAGAAGGAAAATCAATAGTGAAGTTGTATTATTGAAAGGCATTGGAACTGAATTGGCACGTTGTGCGAGGTTACCAACAGTTGGGGTCTGTGCTGCGTGCACTTGAAACACAATGTTTGCTAGACGAAGCTTCTCTTTGCCGGCGGGCTGGCTATGAGTTCTATTCTTTAAGAGTGAAAACCGCAGAAGATATATTAGAAGATAGGTATCCGAAATAAAATAATTAAAGATTTGGGATGAGATTTCGGAGTTGGTAAGAATGTGTTAGGGAAGGGAAGATGGGGGATTGTTTATTTTCTGAAAGTTTTGCATCATTCTTGTTATAAGTGAGCAGCTCCTTCTGGATTTTTGTTTAATTTTGCGGGGCTTAAATTATAGAAGTAGAGTGTTTTCTTCTGTTTTTTAGCCAAAAAGGGGAAGTGGGTTTGAACGCAGGTAGTATCGATCTCACCACCATATTGGCACCACGAAGGCTTGCCCAACGCTCGTTCCAAACAAACCAACTCTGATTCTTTTTCGTATACTCTTTTTAAGTTATTCATGCTCTTAATATTATAACAGGAGACGTCGCCTCTCGACCTTTTTTTCGTTTTTTAAAATCTTCAGTTAGCATTCGACATAATTCCCTTTTGAAACCTGTACGCTGAGTTAAAACAAGTTTTTCTGACAAGCTCTGCTTATATTGATTAAAAGTTCACACGGTTAACTCAATATATTTACGTAGAGAGTGCTTGAATTTGGTTTCGGTTTTACGGCTTAGTTACTCATTCTTTTTTTTTATTTGTTTCACATTTAAATGCTCCATCATAGAGAACTATGATCTTGCTTACTGCATCACTAACATTATAATTTGTTGAAAATTAGGTTTTCATGATCTTATCAAACGTTTTATTACGTTGTTTTTGCTCGAAGATGTTCTAAACTTTATTTATCTTTTTTGTTGTTGTTCGGTGTGTGCTTTCAAAGCTTTATACGGATAGCGACGATTTGATTGTTTTCCATTTGCGTGTTTTCTGAGTTGTTTGCTTTGCAATTTCAAACTGAACGGCAGACGAACAGAAGCTAGGAGATTCTCTGCCTAATGGAGGCTTTGCTCTTTTTCTTGCTCTTTGGCTGTCCCCAATAACCATCAAAAGAGACCATGACTATGTCCATGTCACCGCTAAGCCTCTGTCGACGACACTCTCGCTCCGCTGCTCCGCTCACATTTTCATATTCCATGCGGATTTGCATGGCCTCAATCGAAATTGGCCGAGCTCACAGCTCTCTTCCCTCACCTCGCTCCGCTATTTTCCAAGTTTCTCCCCTTTTTTCGTTGAAATGCAGATAATAAGTTTTTCTGAAACTCTTGTGCAATATATCAATCGCATCTTCCTCTATCCGACGTTCTCGCATAATTCGTTTCATATAATGGTTCTAGATGAAGAGGAAATAGTATTTAGACTAATAAAAAAACATTTTTTTCATTATTATTCGAACAATTTGTTAATATCGAGGCTTCCATTTTGATCTCTCTCTGTCTCCCTTTCTCTCTCCATCTGCAGGCGGTAGTAGCTTATGAATACCACCAATCTTATTCACTTGTTATAACGTATTTAGTATGCATATGAATTATATATAATCCACAGTTTGGTTTATCTCCAAATTCACCAGAGCCACATCTATCATTAGCTTCCTTACATTGACTGGGCTGTTTTTGCATATTTCGTGTTCCATGTCGTCGTTATTTTGCATGGGGTGACAATACTGGCCACTTGGCCTTTTTCTTACATTAAAATTGCGCCAAAAGTCGCATTTTATGCCATCCAGGGCTTTATTTTGTCGTTTTCTCATTTTTCTTTCCGAAAGTTTTGTTTCTTTTCTTGACCATACAAACCGAATTGATCACTGTTCTTTTGTATACGTCTCGCAGGGGTAAGGGGATGATTCATGCAAATGTTGGGCAAGTTGGGCGATTCACTACAAGGAACTCGTTTGGAATCATGCCCGTCGATTTGTGTCGATCGAAACAGCGTACACGATTTTCGGAAAATCAACCGATCATCTCAGTTCGCTTCCTCGATTTGTCTTGCCAAAAACGGAAATTTGTTTTGTTTTGTTGATAAATCAAGGAGATACTTCATGATGCCCTGTTCTAATATGGTGCCTCGTTGCAAACAAAATTTTCGAAAAATAAGGTAATTATAACATTTCTTTGCCTTAACTTGTCTCTTTGTAAAGTGCTTTGAATAGCCTAAAGACTGGTAGCGAAATTTCGTTGCTAGACATTTGCTTGGCTCAATGGTCTATCGATTAAGTTTTTGGACTTCTTTTGAATGTGAAAACATGATGGGTAGCATAGTTTAATCTCGTCTATTTTTTATTTTAATAAGTCAATTCAAACGTTTTATTTGAATTTTAAAAGAGTTTTTTATTAAATTATCCCTTTGTTCGCTGTTGTTGACTGTGTTGTGCGTGAAGGAAACAGAGAGGGAGAGGGGCAGATAGAGGGAAAATACTTGAGAAAGCTACATTCACGCTCTTCTTTAATTGGGGGGTGAAGTCGTTGGAAATGTTTCATAAAACTATTAAATTTCCTATACTAATCTTTTTAGCAATATCATTTTGTTAAGTATTATATTTCTGTTGTTTTTTCTCTATTCATCTGTCTTGAATTTCATCCTATAAGACGTGCTGACTTCCTTTCTTGTCCGAGAAACTTATTTGAATAGCTTCTAATAACGTGATACTTTCATGAAGTTACTATTATGATGAAGATAAGAAGTGGATGATCAGCAGAAGACTGAATACGTCTCCACCGCTAATAAATAGTATTTGAACATGAGAGAGTAAAGAGATTAGCCCGGCTGCTGGTGCTGCCAGATAATGCTGATCGATAGCACATCGTGGGGGAGAGAGGCTGCTGCTGCCCAGCTATACTTAATAGGAAGAAGAGAAGGAGGAGTAGAAAAAGGATGGGATGCGATGGGATGGGCACGGGTGGTAAGAGAGGGAAAGAGGAATGAGAAGCAGTACGAGCAGCGAAGGGTTTCGTCGCTAAACTAGGCTGTGAGAGTAGGGACAGGGACACATGCATACGCCGACGTTGACGGCATACACACGGGACAGACAACGGGCTGCTGCCGATGAGAAGGGCGGAGTCTCTCATTCTGTCTTTCTTTCTTCCTTTTCTCTCTATTTCTTCTTCTAAAACTAGGCTTGGGAGCTATTCCTCTTTTCTAACTAATTCGACCGTCGACGCTTTTCAGGCGAATCTTTGCCAACTCTGCCAAGCAGCCACAAAACCGTCTCTCGGCAAGTACTGTCCCGGTCAATACCTTGCAGTCGCAACCGCAGCAGGCATCTTCTTCATTCGCAGGCAGTACCAATCCAGACAATCAGGTAAGAATATTGTTTTTGTTCATTTATTTTCGAATCATATGAGCTCACTCTGTTTTGAGACAATCGTTTTACCTGTTTTCTTCTTTTCAAAAAGCCGTTCTTGATACCATGTTTCCTCTTTCAGAGTTCATCTTCCTGCACTGTACTCTCAGGGTATCCAACAACGGGTGATAATCAGCAATCTGGAACTGTAAGCCGTCGTAGCTTTTGTTAATGACAATGTCCTACTTTAGGTTCCTCTTATTGTAAGTAGCGTGCCAGCTGTTAATTCAGTAGACGACGAGGCTTTGGAAGGTAAACGAGTTGATGAATGATCATGATATACTTTTCTGTTGCAGGACTACCACCACCAATGGAAGAAATTTCGCACAACGATTCTGCTCACTTGGTACGTTTCCTTTCTTTTTTTGCGATGTTTTCCTGCGCGAGTTGTTGTTCACTTGGTTTTCTCTATGACGCCTCTATCATGTTGCCAATTCCAGTATTCACTCATTCATTCTATTCTACCCATTGCTTTCGTTGAGCAGGTTTTGTCTTTTTTTTTCGAAGCATATCATAAACAACTCTTTCATTTTCAAATATTAAACGAAGATGACTACTTTATAGTTTTTCTAATAAGGATACCTTCTCTATTCAGAGCCTCTTTTGATATGTAAACTTACATTTCGCCTTCTTTTTGCTTGCTGTTTTTCAAATTTTGAATTTGATTTATGTGGCATGTTGAATTGGTTAGACAACACACACAATTCGAAAATTCCCCCTTGACAACAAGCAATATTAACTTATGTGTTCTTTCGCCTTTCTTTACTCCTCCTTAAATAGATTACATTTTTCTGTAATTAAGTATTCCGCAATGATTTAGATTCGCTTCTTCTCCTTCTCCCTTTTCCTCCTTCTCCTTCGTCTTCCTCGTTCTGATTTCTAGTTCACATCTCCTCTCAAAACACATTTGCTTTCCCATATAACTGTGAATGAACTTAAAAAGAAACAAACTCTACTACCAGTGGAAGAATAGTCGCTAATTACATTGGCTTTATTTCAGAACGAGGACCAGAGTGAGCAGAGTATCGCTCGGGAATCAGTTGAAGAAGAATGCTCGGAGAAGCAAGAGAAAACTCCAGAGGAAATTGCCCGATTTAAGAGACAGTTAGTTCTTTGACGTTATAAGAAAGTTTGCGAATAGAAGATGTTTTATAAATCCAATAAACTTCTTAACAATCTCAAGAATACTTCAAACAGACACAAGTTTCAACCATTTCCTCTTCACATCCTTTTTTTGCAGTTATGTCCTTATGGAGCTTGTGGAGACTGAACAGGACTATGTGAAAGATTTGACATCAGTAGTGGAAGGATATATAGCCAATTTGAATTCCATGGAACTACCTGCTGAGTTGCAAGGCAAGGACAAAATCATTTTCGCAAACATTGCACAGATCTTGGATTTCCACAAAAAGTTTGTTCCCGCTCAGTTTTTCTCTTTTTATTTTTATACCTTCTTGCAGTTCCTTTTTGAAAGAAATCGAGAAGTGTATTGATAATTATGACGCTGCTGGTGCTGCGTTTGTGAAATATGTGAGTTTCACTTCTTTCCATCTCTTTCTATTACCAATATTTGCAGGAACGTCGTCTTCACACTTTGTATGTTAAGTATTGCCAAAATAAACCAAAATCTGATTATTTAGTCTCTCAAGATGAATTTGAAGTGGTCAGTTCTCTATAAATCTCCATATCGTTCACTCTTATATTATAGTTCTTTGCGGAAACAAAAGCCAAATTGGGTCATAAAGTTGCTCTGTGTGATCTGCTTATAAAACCTGTCCAACGGATAATGAAATACCAACTTCTGCTTAAAGACGTTCTGAAATTCACTGAAAGAGCTAAAGATAACACTAATACTTTGAAAAAGGCTTTAGAGGTTTCTAATTGCATTCTTGAGCTCTGTTTATTTTGTGTGTTAAGGTTATGCATGTTGTTCCCAAAGCTTGTGATGATATGATGCAAGTTGGTAGACTCCAGAATTTCGATGGAAACCTTAATGCTCAAGGAAGATTAATTCATCAAGTATGTTTGGCTTGAGATATATATTTGGACATTTATTTCCTTCAGGGTACACTTTCAATTGCGGAGCAATGTGGTAATAATACCCAAAGGGCAAAAGATCGTAGAATTTTCTTGTTTGAACAATCTGCTATTATTGCTGACCATATCCCCCCTAAAAAGGAATTCGGAAATCCTACTTACATTTTTAAGAATCAGATTATGGTGAGATTAGCTTTGTTACTTCTTTTTTATTTCTGTTTTCAAAGGTGAACAAAATGCTCTTTCAAAAAATCGTTGCTAATGACGAACCATTAAAGTTCAGCCTTGGAAGTACGGATATGAGCCAGCCTAATTTCATAGCTATTGCTCAGAATAGTGAAGAGAAGGTAGGTACCCATATTTCATCGTCATTCTATTTTCTTGCTTGAAGGAGGAATGGGTTCGAAAACTGGAAGACATGCAAGACCAGCAGAAACGCATGCTCGAGCAACTTGTAAACCCCAAAAAATACATTTCGGGAGGTAATTCCGATGATCTCGGATTAGGTAGTATGAGTCTGTAAGTGAGAATATTTTTTTCTGTCCTGACGAGTTCCTTTTCAGTTCAAATGACAAAAAATCACCGGGAGCAATACCTCGACCAACTGCACCTGGCTCAGCTAGTCTACCGAAAGCAGGATCATCCAAACCAGAATCTCCGAAAAAGGATAGTAAGAGCAAGCTGTTCAGTTTTGGGAAGAAGCCATCAGCGAAATCACCAACATCACCTCCACCGGTGGGCAAATTGAAATGAGAGCATCTCGCTTAGAAGCCTAATTAGAAACAGATTTCAATGTTTCTTTCTCTTTCTAATCATATTTCTCCCCTTTCAATTCTTCTCTCTCTGTGTGCATAGTCTGCTTTCTGTTGGAAGGGGTAGCGTTTTAGGTTTTTAATCGTGATATTGAAAAAAATCACGTGTCTTATTCGTTATTCTCCTAGCTTTCTTCTACTCCATTTAATCTAGTCTGCTCATTCACTAGTTATCTCATTGCGTATTTTACCGAATCCTTCTTTGAACTGACCGAACAAGCCTCCTCCCTCCTTCCTTCTCTTCCCAATACGAAATATGACCATATCTAACTCCGGTGACTATCTTTCGTAAACTTGGAATGTTCTATTCCCTTAACTGCTGGCATAATTTAATTTATACCAACCTTTTGAGAGAAGTCAATCAGAAAGTTCCTCATCCCTACCCCTCTCTCTCTTTTTCAATAAATTTTTAACCCTTTTCTGGTCAACTTTCTGTTTCACATGTATATAATACGCTCTACTTTCGCGTTCTTGTTCAAACACTCTGCTACATGGAGTTAAACTTTTTGTAGTTTGGGATGTTCGTGAGAATTTTGAAGAAATCTTAACATTGGGATGCTATTAAGGTTAGTAGAACATTCTATGGATCACTTGCTCCTTCCCTTCCCTTTCCCAATCCCGGTTCAATTTCTAGATGAAAGTTCTCACCTTGTGGCTTGTTTTCTGTAGTAGAGGAAGGGTTTCTTTTCGAGTATCCAAGCATAATATAGTTGTTGAATGAGAGCTCTCTCTCTGTGTATGTGTGTGTATGTGTGCGTGTGTGTTGAACACACCCATTTACGGTTTGCCTTGCTCTTTTGAGATGTGTTTTGAAAGATTTTGGCTAACATTCTTATAGTTCTGGTTGAGCCTGGATCTTCTTATTCCCATTGCCAATTTCTTTTTCTCTCTCCTCTGCTCCTTCATGTTCATTTTTTGTCCTTGTAAATCAACCCAACTCGTTGTCCACATGGTTTTATAGTTCAATTTCAAATTTATGAGCTGTCTTCTTGATATTTTCATCTTTTTTTTTCTTTTGGATAATAACATGTCCATTTGTATATGTATCTTACTATTCAGCCATGAATTTAGTTTTTGCCAACATGGACTGAAAGATTTCTATGTGTTTAATGCTTATTATAATTATTATTATCGTTATGATAACTATAAAGATTGTATAGACTAATGTTTTCTTTATTCAGAACTTTGAAAGCAGTGTGAATTTGTATGTTTTAAAAAGATTGTTTTCCTTTCTTAGACTGCAGTTGTCTCCTCTGAGCCATAATCGCACGGCAGAACTAATTGCCTTAAAGGATTGAATTAATACGAATAGTAATAAGAGCGCCAGCTGGAGTAAGAGGAGAAAGAGTATAAGCTTCTCTACATTTGAAATTATGTGAAAAGTCAAGAGTCTGAGAAGACTAGTCCAAGAGAACATGAAACTTTACAAAAGATTCCCACAAAAATGCCTATTAAATCGACTTTGAGGACTAAGCCTCTTTCCATTCATTGCATTGATGAATGTTCTTCGAAATTTATGTACATATTGGGTATTAATGATGACAACACAGAAGAACAAATTTTGACAACACAAGATATATGATTAAAGCAATAAAATACTGTTAAGAATCTATTTTTCGATATTCTCCTCTTTCTCTCTTTCTTGTTCACTAAGGGGGACGATGTCAGCTTTAGTATTATGCCAGTCATCCAATCAATTTTATCAACTTTCCTTCCTAATGGCTTTGATATCATCTAGTTCATCCAGTTTGTTTTAATAGGATTGCTTTTCTTACTTCTGATTACTCTAATTCAATTTGAACAACATTCTCATTATATAAAATGAATTTTTAAATAATCCGGTAATGAAGTCTTTGGTTCAGGAGAAATGTGGATTTGAAGCCGTTGTTATTTGCAATTATGTTCCATTAAGACCAGGAGAAATTGCTGTTAAAATTGAAGAAGAGGTATAGACTCTATCACTGACTTGCAATTCTTAACAGACACACTTTGTTCATTGTATGTGTCCGTTGTGGTCTAGTGGTTAGGATTTATGGCTCTCACCCATAAGGCCGGGGTTCGATTCCCCGCAACGGAATAACTTTTTTCCAATTATCATTTTGTATTTATGAGTCAAGTCGACATTAAGGTCTCTGTACTCAGTGTGGAAAACGGATATGCGAGTATAAGGACTGTAGACGGGAAAGTTGGCAGGGTGCCATCGTACTTTCTCGAACTGAACAAAATCGAGGGCGAAACGTTTGCGGAACAAATTCAGTTTGATTTCGTAATAAATATTGAATTATGTTTAAACTTGAAGATTTCGTCGTAGTTGGTATGAAAGAATATCAGAGATTGATTTGAAGGGGTTGACAAGCAATCCTCTATCAACGTTTGGAACACATCATGAAGAAGATTATATTGCTGTAAGTGTTCAACGAAACTCTGGTCCATTTGGTCTATATCTTTAGAAACAAATACAACAAAAGATACCTGTGATCACTAAGGATATCTCAGACATACTTGTCCGTGAAGGAGAGAAAGTTATATTCCAACCGACCATAATATCACCTGTAGAATACTCGCTTACATGGAGAGGCCCAGCTCTAGAGAAGAAGCGGGCAATTGTTGAAGTAGAATCGTCATCCTATTATGACACATATAATATATATAGCTCATATACTCGTTCAGAATGACGGAAAAGAAGCAAGGCTTGTTATACCCACAGTTGGCTATCTGGACTCTGGGCCATACTCTTTTGTGGCTAGCAACTCTCATGGATCCGTTACGTCAGTGGCTCTGTTGAAAGTTGTTAGAAAACCAGGTATCTTTGATAAGTGCGTATTTGCAAGTAACATTGGTGCATGTTATAGAGGCACCTGTAAACCTTAAGCTCTCTCGAACGGGTTGGAGATCAGTAAAGTTGAATTGGACTGCTTCTTCCACTCCAGGAGTACGATATTGCATTCAATTCAAAAGACCAGGTATTCGCTTCTCGCCACTCTGTTATCCAAATATAATTCTTTCAGATATGGCATCGTATTGGTCTGCCTGCATCGATTTGACAGCTACTAAAGTACGAGGAATTCTGATGTGAAGAAATTATACTTTTTTCCAGGTGACTCTCAGACAGTTCCGCCCTTGTTCTTATAAAATTCGAGTGTTTGCTTACACAGTTCACTTCCGAAGCGATTATACGAACGAAATCTGTGTTGATTTCTCTCTGGAACCTGAAGTTTTTCTTGAGGTTTACTAAAACACTTAGAGTTTTCTTTTCAGAAAACAAAGGAACTCACAAACGACATTGGTTTCGGTTCAGTCTTGGGATGTGGAAGAACGTCAATCACTTATGATATGTTAAGAAATGCGAATCCCATTCATCTAGCAGGGAAAGTGTTCTCCAAGAAACGGAAATATGAGGAAATTCAGAGAGAGGTACGGACAGATCCTTTGAGGTTTCATCCATGCCTTATAAGGTTTCTATACTAAATGAGCTCTGCTACCCAAACATCCCGCAGTTTCATGGTTTTTTCGAGAGTGAGAAGGGATATTGCATTCTGCTACAGAGGTTTTCACATTGATGTTGAAAGAAAACTGAGTTGTTTTTAGAATCCCTGGGATTGACATAGCAAAATATGTGGAGAAATTGGGATATTTGACAGAAGATGTCCTGCAATTGCTATGTCGCTATATTTTTGAAATTTTAAGTTATCTTCATAGTAAAGGAATTGTTTACACTGATATGAAGGTGATGAATTACAAGTCTCTATTTTTATAAAATCATATCTTCTTCAATTTTATATCTTCTTTATAAATTTATTTATTACAGCCGGAGAATCTATTGGTCGAGGATCGCGTTGTTCTTATTGATTTCGGTAGTGCCCAAAAGAAAGATTCAATTTTACAGAAGAAAACTAAGAATTCCATTGAATCCGTATACTGGGGAGATTCTGATGCTACGTAAATCTTCATTTAGTTCGCGAAAATCCTCATCTTTATAGATATTCCGCTCCGGAAAGGTCACAGGGCTTTTCGCCATGTGACAAGTCTGATGTTTGGTAGGAAGCATTACAAGCCAAATGTTTGAATTTTATGTTTCAGGGCAGTGGGGTCCATCATATGTCATCTATGCTTTGGAGAAGCTCCTCATCGAGCGGCTCCATCATTAAAGAGGTTTGTTTATGAATTTCAATAACTACATCAAAACTGTTTCAGGGCTCAGGATCGTTTCTCAACTGAGCTTTTAGGATTTTTAAATTCAATTCTTGCCTGTGATCCATCCAAACGTTTATCAGCAGCTGAAGCTTTGAAACACGAATGGATGCATGAAGTTTCGGTTATACGTCTAATTCCTCTACTTTTCCCTTCAGATATTTTTAACAAATTTGCCCAAAATGGGTGAGAGGTCAGAGTCCTCGGCTGACGACGTGTATCTGGTGGTGGAAAAGCCGAGTCGCCTATCTCGAAGTGCGAGCTTCGATTGGTCATGATTGTAAAAGAGAGTGGGAATGGTTGGAGAAGTGATTCTTCGCAGTTTTTTTTTCTCGAACATCTGTTTTTTCCTTGCAATTATGTCTGAAGAGCTTTATGGAAAGAATTGTGTGAAAGGTTAGAATTCATTAATGACCCATATGTTCTTGAATGAATGGTTGAATGAAAAGATTTTTTGTGATTTTTTCTCATCTTCGTTGATCTTAGAACGACTTTACACTACGTGCCGAAAGTCTGGTGTAGCTAATGAACCAACAGCTGTCTTTCTGCCGATTTCCTATGAAGTTTTTGGCAATCTCTTTACAACTCCACTGTAAATAGAAGAACAAAATAAGAAGAAAACAAATCAAAAGGGCAAGATCTTCGGACTCTTTGTAATCTTTCTACTGGCTCGATGGAATAAACGAAGAAAATGCAATTTGAAAACATTTATTTTCATACATTATTTATTCAAAAATCAGGCTGGAAAACTGCAATGATGAGTTGCTAACTTAAGGGTGGGTCTTTCCTTGTTTCTCCAGCTGAAAAAGAAAAGTTTCAAAATGTAATTCTGTGAGGACAGCAAGTTGAGGTACAACTAAGAAAAAATTATGTCTAGGTTAACTATAACTTACCCATTATTAAGAACACAAAACGGTTATGGAATTTAGTTGGAGAATGGATTGGTTTTTCCTTGTTTAGCGAGCTGAAAGAAGCATCACTTAAGAAGGTTAGTCTTTATAGCTAGTATAGTCTGATAATAAAGCTTCTAATCTAGCTGAATTCACACCAATTGAACATCTGAATAAAACTTACGACGCGTCCAAGAGACAAAAGAGTGACAACAACGGAATACAAATCACGAGCTTCGAAGAGATCGACGGATTGGAAAGTCTCCTCAGTTGGAACTCCGAACTGTAAAAGAACATTTCAAAAAGCTTTCGCAGTTCATCCTAACCTTCTTGGCGGCTTCGACGAAAGCGTTAATGTTCTCCATACAAGCGAAGTTGGAGATTGGCTTTTGGATCTTCTTTACGCTGTTGGCCTCAATGGCATTGGCAAGCCTGCAGAAAATCGTGATAAGAAAATTACACAACTACCTAGTTTTTTCTCAGAAAGTCAAAAAACAATCAGTCAGAACTCAAAGCGTAGGTGTTATCAGCAGTTATTACACATTGGTTTACATAAGTTTAACACTACTACTTACTTGCAGAGAAGGCTGCCATCCTTAAGAAGTCTCAAGAAGTTGTCTCTGTCACCTTAACATCAAGAATATATTTATATCAAAAAAGAATATTGAGTACCAGCTGTGCTGATGTTCTCTCCAGACTCTTTCTTAATCCATTCAAGAAGAAGATGTCCTTCATCTTCACTGTACTTGGAGTCTTGCTGGAATATTGCTTTTACTAGTTGAAATCGGAGATAGCTCATACCTTTTGTCTAACAGCAAATCCGATTCCTCCGGCAGTAGTGCGGCTGGCCATGGCTAACTTCTCTGTGTGAACGAAGTCCTAAGGATTGACTTAGGTGATTGAGTTGTTTAACTTCTATTCTCATTATCTTATATAAGTCTCCGCCTTTCGCCTGTGATCATTTGTTATTGGATAGCTCCTCCTATTTTATGGCCACCCCCACATTTCGGGAAGCTTCGGATGCTCCTGAAACAAGTGATGCGGTGGCGGACAAAACACCAACAGACTTTCGTCATACCGTCAGTTGTTGCTAGAGAGTATTTTGAAAATCTAAAAAACTGATTCATCGAAAATGCTCTTAAAAAACCTCAAGCTTCTTCCGGTTCGTATGAAACATACTGAAAGTTGGCTTGGAATGTTTTTTTTCGATTTGCACATATCACCAGTCACTGGATCCAACAGATGATAAGAGAAGAATTCTCCAAACTCAAATCGATACCGAGAGAGGAAATCAGCTATAGTTTATAAGACAAGGAAGAACAGCAATGAGCTCAATCATAGTGTGGGAGACTGTGGAAGAGTATCGTAGAATATCTCAATTTGTGCATAGTTCTAGTAATCCAATTCAGTGAATGATCAGATCAATGAGCATTGGGCACAGCTTTGGATGCAAGATGAAGTAGAGATCTGGGTTTGAATTAATCATCATTTCAGTGTCCATATAAAAAAATCATCATTTTCATTCGAATAGAATTGATTATTTCTGTACTTATTTCAAGCTCTTGAAAGTTCGAAACTATCTTTTATTAGCCACAGGGTTCATTGATCACAAGATGTCTCATAACAATACTGCCCACAGCTTTCCGTGTTTACTCTCAAAGCTGATTCGATCGTTTATTAACCAACCAAAATGACTTAGGAACACCACAGGTAACACGCAAATCCCGCAAATAGTTATGCAAATAAGATATAATATTAAGATATATTGAATCCATCGAAGGAAGTATATCACTAAATAGGAAAGACATTCTTTACAACACAAGATATGGAGAAAAGATAATAGCTTCAGCTAGTTAGGAACGTTAAAAGCTTTCAAAAGAATATCTAAGATAAGTGCAACAAATGGAAATAGATGAAGACCCAACTTTTGAAATAAGGTTTTTCCCGCTTCTTCGTTTTTCAATTTTAATCTTCATCCGAGCTATCATCGCTGAGATTAAGTCCAAGATCACCATGCGAATTCGGCTTGGAACTATACGATGACGATGAAGGAGGAGGGGGAGGAGGAGGATTCGATCTAATATGGATACTGTTTCTTTAAAAGATTTGATTTTCTCTACCTGAAGCTTCCACTGGCTACAGGCGGTGCACTTGGAGGAGCAAGCTGCTGAGAACTTGCATTGACGGTAGCGATTAAAGCACCTAAGACAATGAATAGTTCAGAACTGTGATGCAAACTTACTTTCCATGTCACTCATGCTCGAGTTTGACTCTCTTCGTTGTTTCGTTGTTTTCGACTGAATCGAGATAAGTCTCGGTCATACATATTTGAAAAATACCTCAGTATCAGAGCCACTATCGCTCTCACTGTCACTACTATCGCTGCTGGAAGAACTGGACATCTGATCGTCACTGTGGTTAGTATTAACTTCTCCTCTTAAATGATTTTAAATTTAAGTAGAAGAATATTCTTGATACTTTTCTTTTCCCTTTCTTGCATTTTCCGTTCGTAGACGGGACATTTCGTTTCTCAAAACAATCTCCGTGCTTTTATCGATATCCCTAAAACTATTGATATTGAATATATCGTGTAGGAACTCACCTGGCCTTTTTCACTTGAATATTCGAACTGATTTTTTCCAATCGTAAGCTTCCTGATTTCTTATCAAAAAACAACAAACATTCTTTAGGTTTCGCTTCTTTTTTGGCTCCTTTGTAAACGGTGAGGTTGTTTCCTTCGGTTGGAACTGCTACCTATGAGCATATTGATTGTTCACTTGTGCGAGCAAATATCACTTACATGCACATCACCATTAGTCCCATAAGCTATATATGATTCTGAATCATTGGAAGCCACTGATTTCGGTTTGAAATCGTCTAAGAATCAATTCGTTGAGAAAGCATTTCATGATTCATAATACTCACATCGTAATGTATGGAATTGACTGCGTGTCTCCCTTTTAGGGTCTGAGAATGTCGATCCAAACTCAAGCTTATATGTACCCGGAGGGATATCTTTCGCTTCAGACATGGTGATCACCTGAATCAAGCGAATGTAAGCAAAAAAGAATCAATATACAAGATATATCAACAAGTCGTGAAGGTTGAATCACGTGTTGCAGAGATTAGCGGAAGTATATGTAAAGTCAAAATCGAAGAATGATTGTTATACATCAAATGTAAATGCTAAAATATGGAAAAGCTAAAAAGGATAAGGAAGAGCGTAGTAATCCAGCACGATGCTACAGAGAAGAAACTTTCCACCGCAACAGACTACATATTTACTTCGACCCTGATTTTCAATGAAACGTCAGTCAACAAAAGAAGTGGAATGAACACGCCCTTTTTGAGCCAGAGCTTCTTCTATGACCAAACACGGGAAAACTGAGAAGAGAAAAGAATCTCTTCAATAAATATAACTGGAGGTGAGCATCTTTCTCATAATTGATCCATTGAGCAAACTATCAAGGCAAGGCGAGGTATAAAACGTTTATTTTAAAATGATATGATATTTACAATATTATTAGTACTAATTGACTAGATATGATTATTAGGTTAGATTTTTTTGTTTAGTTGATCAGCTAAGTACTCCTGGTTATACACATATAGAAACTTTGAGAACCATAATGGGATTGGAATTGTTGATAAGTGAAAGAGTGAATGAGCATCAACAAACCAGAGGATAGGTGCGAAATCGAACACTTCCAGTAAAACACAGAAAATTGAATAAAACAAAATTTTCCAGAGTATGAAATCTGATTCAGACACTATTTTACGAGTGTGACGTCTCCTCAATAGGTGGAATAAGTAAAGAACAGAAGTGGCTATAGATAGAACGATGCAGCACAGCATGTTATACCCATAATCGAAATGCTTCTAGAAATTTCAGATTGACATAAATTTCAAAAGAACCAACTAACCAGCATTGAACGGATATGTTGGACATAGAAGAGAAGTAGTATGAAACCCGTTAATAATGAAGATCTGAAAGTTATATTAGATATGTCCAGACTCTCCTACTCACTTCGATCCCCTGAAGTAGAAACTTGAGAATACAGTTATGTGCAAGGATGCATAAAATCCGTAAAGTACCAATGCACATGCTGCAAAATAATCCATATATTCAGTTATCCAATTATCTCTTGCATGGAAAAGAGCCGAGCATGACCTAATTTTATTATTATTTTAATGAAACATTCAGAGGAACTTACCAGGCCAGCACCCCTACAATCGTATACCCTATCCATATATGCCTATACTCTACAAATCTTGACTTCTTCAAGAAGTTATACAGATATACGTAAGAACATAGGTTCAACAACGAGAAAATCGTTGAGCAAGGCTCCTGTAATCAAAGTATTCTTATGATTCATTCATATTTCAAAGTATACTTGTATCGTAGGACCAAAGCCGAAAAATTCTATTGCTATGAACGGCCATTTTCCATGAAACTGTGGTACATCCCACTTTTGCTCTACAAAATGATCGACAGTATTCCACATGCAGTTATAACGACATCTACGGGGGATGAAGAGATTAGAGAAAGAAATACAAAAGGTTGATACTTGAAGCATTTGGAAAAAGACCATGCTACGTCAATGAACTCTGAAGGACATTCTAAATTTACTCTACAATCGTGAATGCACTGTCTGTAATGAGGCGAGAAATCGCCTACAGAGGCAAAAGCTCCACAAAGTATGCTTAGTAAGAGAGCAACAGAATAAAACACATGCATAAATCTGAAAAAAAGTCGATATAGGTAGAACGATCTTGAGCTTGACAATAGAATACGTAATGGCTAGGGATTCCTAATATTTGCCATTACGAGTGATAAGAGCCAGACTATTGATAAGAAAAGCTAGGAATTCATTGCATATTATCGAGAAAAGCTTGTGAAGAGAAGGTAGTAATTTACTGTAACTTTTACGACTCGAGCTTGAGCGTGAATAACAAAAGCCAGAAATTTGAATGCTTGGCGTGACGTATTTTTGGTGTATCAGACGTGCGCATCGGTTGTTCATGCTTTGAGCAGATAATTTTTTCTTCATTCTCATAGATTTTTAGTTTTTTTGAATTTAATATCTTTTTGTTTGTCTCTTTTTTCTCTTTTTATTCCTCAATGTTGAAAATATGTTTCTCACCCTAATTTCCAAAAGTCTGAAAAATGTATTCCCAAAGTTATTTTTTAGTCGACGTACAAGTTGAATAGACACTGTGATTGTTAAGTTCTGCACAGTTTTTCTTTTTTTGATAAGGCTTCTCACATAATTATATTATTAGTTATCAATTAAGAAAGTAACCTGTAATTATGGCCATGGAGCCGTTCAATTCAGATATATATGAAGGTTATAACCTGTGAGTTCTGACTGCACCGGATCTTATTAAACTCTTCTCTTGTTTTAGGTATATTCATCCCGATAAGTTCTACTTGGAACCTAGGGATCGTGAAGGAGGACTCCTTTCCACGACATACTTGGAAATTGATAGACATTATAATACTATACGGCTTGGAGGTACCTAATATTAAAGTATATATGTAAGGACTGTTTCAGATGCAAATGTATCAAGAATCCCGGTCTCTGGTGCAGATTTGCATTTGATTCGAGGCATCTTGGGTACTATTCAACTTGTTTCTGGTAATGAACTTATTTATGTTCTTTATGTAGAGTGAGCTCATTTAAGGCATGGCTCTGATTGTGATAAAACGTATCAAGCAGGTGGGGTCTTTGAACGGTCATCATGTATGGTCTATCGTCGAGACGGAAGTGATCCCCTACAAAAAAACATTACTTCACTTAACAGAAAAGCAGGTTTGAGTGATACATTTTTGATACTCCATTTATGGATACTGAGTAGATTTGGTATAATCGTCTTTTCACTGATATGATACAAACTGTGTTGTCCACTGGTGGATTTTATTTCTCCCACACTTTGGATTTATCCCGATCTCTCCAATGGTTAAGCGAGAACGCAAGCCCTGAGTTCCGTCAGAGGAGTATGATTGACAGAGTATGGAGTACTACGATAACACAATCATCTTGATTTTGAATTTAGTGTGATGAACGTTTTGTTTGGAATCGTCACCTTCTCTCTGCAATCAGATCAATAAGTGGAGTGAGTTTTATTAACCCATACAGTTTGATAAGTAATACTAGACGGCAAGATATTGTCTACCAGTAATCCATGGCTTCTATGGTCAATTCATCGAGAGCATCAATGGACAGTCTTTTAAAGTGATCTTGGTTTCCAGAAGAAGTGTTCACAGGTAGTTATTTCCATCCAGAAGGAAGTTGAGCTTCCACACTTCTAGAGCTGGAGTTCGTTTTTACAAGCGTGGTGTGTGTCCTGATGGCAACCCCGCCAATTACGTCGAAACAGAGCAGATTGTTGAACTGGACAAGGATGCAGAAAGAAAAATAACTGCTTTCTTACAAGTGCGTTCAAATTCTTTTTTTTTTGCAATTTCGAATCTATTGAAGTTGAGAGGATCGATTCCACTATTCTGGTCTCAAAAACCAAACCTTAAATGGCAGCCTATCCCCTGCATGAAGCCTCACGACGATCAACTTCAAGCCTACGTGAAGCATTTCGAAAACCAAAAAAAATATTATAATGGAAGACATGTAAGAAATTCAGAGACCCGTAGGAATGTTTATGTGTTTTGCTTAAAGGTTATTGTGAGTTTGATCAATACTCATGGTCGTGAGAAACGTATCGGAGGAGAACTTGAGAAAGTATCTCAGCAAGCAAATTTGTCCTTTGTTAGGTTTGTTATTGCCTAAAGAAATAATAAGAACATTTGTCTATTAGATATAATCCTTTCGATTTCCATAAAGAATGCAAAGCCATGAAATGGGACCGGGTATCAATTTTGAAGGAACAATTACGTCCAGAAATAACTGAATTCGGGTAGCTCCATCTCTAATTGATATTATAAAATAATTAGTTTTAAGATTTTTTGCTTCCTCATTGAACGATCATGAGTTCGGACGGACACAGTCTGGTTTCTTCAGAACAAATTGTATGGATTGCTTGGATAGGTGATAATTTCGGCTGAATTCATGCAATCTTTTTTCCATTTTTAGAACAAACGTGATTCAGTGTATGCTTGCTCGAGAATCTTTGACCGACCAACTCGAAGTTTTGGGAATTCTGTATCCTGGACAGAAAGTCGAGTTTATGGAAGCGTTGGAAGCATCTTTCAAGAATTGTAAGTGAAAATGGGCCCTTCTTTGACATTTCCTGTATTCAGTATGGGCTGATAATGGTGATGAATGTAGTAAGCAATATGCGGGAACTGGAGCTCTGAAAGTATTTTGAACACTCCCTTTTAAGAAAATATAATTAATTCAGGCTGATTTTACAAGATTAGGTAAGCGTACATATCAAGGCGCTCTCAATGACGGAATAAATGCAATTACACGCTATTTCCGCAACAACTTTGCCGATGGATACAGACAGGTTTGAGGATGTTCTACCATAAGAGCGTACTAACATCTGTTCAGGATGCCATAGATCTGTTTCTGGGAAATTTCATAGTTGATCCAAATAATCTCCCCTCAACACTTGAAACAACACTGATAGCTCTGGATCAGAATGGTGTTGCCCTTTTGGCGGCCTTGTTTGCCATGGCTATGACGGTTTTATGCGTCTTAGTTGCAGGTAATTGGATTAATAACAAAATATGCATTGGATGTTCTTTCAGAAAACATATCGGCAACACTGTTTTGGCTCCTCGTCTTCATTTTCTGTGTAATGTTCATATTCCTGAACGGGGAAGAATTCGTAAATGTGCCGAAGCTGAAGAAAGATTGAAAGATCATGTGATATCTAGTTAATCCGGGGTAGAGTCTATATTGCCTAATCATAATTTATTCAACATTAATTTATTGGATTTGTAGAATGCTTGCTATTATTTAATTTTTGCGAACAAAAATAAATTTTTTTGCAAAATTTTTTGAAAGGACTACAGAAGGAGAGATCGATATGAACATACGGAATCATCGCCTACACTTAAGGTCTTCTCACCCATACTCTTCGTATATTTTGCGTTTTTTCATTATACGATTAAGTAAATCTCATTTAAATCGTTCTAAATATTTGCTATTTCCATATAAAGGAAGTTATGAGTATCATATGATCCAAACAAGCAAATATAAAATTCTAAGCTCAAATAAATGCGGAGTAGTTTGGATTTTCTGTAATTCTTGCACGTTATTTACCTCATATCCAGTGGATAGTTGCCTGATTGGTTTCCTTGTGACAACTCTGATTTTTGGTTGCTCTCGCGTCAGTCATCTTCCCTTCTGCGATGATTTTAATTTCAGACAACGGAACATCTTTTTCTTCGGAATTAACTTGTCTCCGTTGACAACTTTAACAGATTTCCAAAGATCCTCTCGTTTTTTCCCCCCACAAAAAGCTAGTCGTTGCTCTTGAACTAAGCCGACGTTCTGCAAAACTTTGATTTTTAAGAATAACGAATATTGCATGTTAAGGTTTCATCTGCGGACTAAAAGGTCTTTATCGAATTGAAAAGGGATTCCTTCTGTCATCTGTGTCATGTCCGTCATGGAGTCTATTAAGCTCGCTTTCAAGTAATTCGTTGATTCATCCCACTCCTTAATATGCATATAACTTACTTTATTGATAGAGGTGACGTAAATGTAATTAAATTTCATATTAAAAGTTCCTTATTCTCACGAAAGTCGCGGAGAATGTTAGGGCATTGTCTCCGAATGAATAGTCCCCCCTCATGCCATTTGGAAGAGAAAGAGTAGAATGGAAAAGAAAAAACTATTGATATATAATACTATTTTCTTATTAATGTTATGTAAATATCCTATAGCAATAAGGGAAGGGGGTGGCCGAATGAATAAAAAAAACTTTCCCTCATATGAGTTCATCTCTGCTTGTGGACGTGACCCTATCTGGAAACTCACTCAATCCACATACTAATAGCCCACGTATGCATCTCACAACGATAGTAACATGAGTTACTTCTTATTTAATAATAATAAAAATATATATTGTTCTACGTTCTTGTGGCTAATTTGAGTGTCAACTTGTCATTCTTAAATTCTCATACTTTTCGTTTACTTTTCTAACAAAGCTTTATCTCTTCTCAACCGCCCCCAGTACTCGGTCATCCCGTTTCCACTCTTTCTTTTAATTTTTATATCTTTGACTTCACTATGCCTGAACATTTTAATAGAAAATTTAATTTTCTATTCAATCTCGTCTTTCGCGGATATCATGTGAATACTTCACAATAACCTTTCATGATGATTACCGATCAATAATCATCTCTAATACTTCTCATTTTGGCGCCTTTTCTTATTAACACGTATTTACCAGATATTTTGTGATTACATCACATATTCTTTTTTTCTTTTTTTATTTCATTATAAATCTTATTTAATATTAGATCGTTTGTAATTTACGTAAACAACTTTTTGAATACGTCAGTTTTTCACGTGAGATGCGCATTTCCTTAGCTGCAGACATCTGAAGCGGTTGTGTCGTTTTCATTTTTTATTTTTTGCATTTTCCTCCTTGAAACTCTTTAGACTCTTTTTAACTTCATTCCGTATTTCGATGTCGTCAGCGAATCTCTGCCTATGCTTCTCTTTTTACTTCTAATGGCTAGTCATCTTGCATATTTCTCACTTCATGCACGAACTTCCTATTGGTGAGCAGCGTAAACGAAGAATGAGTTATATCCGGAAAAGAGACGAGAATCTTTTCAATTGGAAATGCTGTCCGTTGTTGCGAATTGCACCCAAAATCTGCGAATAAATGGAAAAGCTCGTTAACAGAACTTATTGAGAGAAAATTAGTTGAAATCAGATGAATTGCTCTAGTTCACATATAATGATGCCATATAAATGTATTTTTATATTTTGAACTTTTGTATAGGTGATCAATGATTTACAACAATACATACGAAGTTATCAGCTTAAGCACAAGTCAGATAATATGTTGGAGTGTAGTCTGACGATGATCACATCTCAATAGAAATGTATGTGGTGGTCCATTAGCATACTTTCTTGATACAATATTACCTTTTGATTCATATTTTTTCCTGCCCACGCTGTTGTTGAATGTAAAAACATTGAAAGAAACTTTCTTCATTCATAATTATTGTAAAGGGAATACTTGCTCGAGAAAACTATTGCATAAAGCTTGTATTCTCGTAGATTAACAAAAAAAAAACTTTGTTCTCAATTTTCTTCTCCCCTCTCTCGATCTCTTTCTCTCGATCTCTCTCTCTCTCTCTCTCTCTTTATCTTGTCATTCATTTGTACCTCCAAACATCTTTTTATTCATTCAGTTGTTATTTTTGACTAAGCTTCTATCTAAATTTGCAAATTCTATTTACTCATATATTATTGTTTTGATTAATAAGCAATCATAGCTACTTGGTTCTTGTCTTTCTCTCATACTCATTATCATGATGTGTGTTCCCGTTTGAACTTTCGAATATAAACATTTCGTATATTTATATGTTCCAAAAGTGCACACCATGTAAGTATATAACATTCAAATTTAACGGAAATTGCATGTTATGCTCATTTCAAGTATATTTTGAGATTATTAACTCTTCATTCTATGTTCTCTACCTCTCCCCCCTCCTTACCTCCTGTCTTTCTCTCTCTTTATCTCAGTGCACTTCCTTCTTTCCTCTTTCTCATATATTTTTTTGTTTGTTTGCTTAATTTGAATAGGAATGGATGATATGCTAATGCGCTATCCACGTCATTATTAGCTTTAATTCATTGTGTTGGACGCGGTGAACGGTTGTGATTTTCCTCTTCTTCTCTTTTCTCTCTTTATATCCTGAATTATTTTATTCATCTAGTCTCTTTTAATGTTGGCCCTTTTCAGGATTTCTAGGCTTTACATTCCTTCCCGTCCTTTTCCTGTCTCTTCAACAGATTCAGCTTCTTTTTGAGTCCATAACATTCTAGTTGTAGCTTATAGTAACTTGGATTTTTTTCACTCACTCTCTCTCTCCTTTCATCCCAACCATTTCCGTTCAGTCGATTGGCTTCCAAGCCATTCTCTCATCTCCCAATTCGGAAAAATTATTTTTTGATTATTTCTGTAATTAATTACCTTTTATGTATTCTTTGATGTGTTTAACATTTAACGGAAGTTTCAGAAAAGTTCTAGTCTTTATCGTCGTTAAAATAGTCATTTTGCCTTTCGTTTAAGTTTCCTATAATGGCTCATTGCTCAATACAAACCAAGTTTTGATCTGTTTCACACCGAAAGAGAGAGAGAGAGAGAATGAGAGAAAAAGAGAGAGAGGGTGAGATGAGATGGAAAAAAATAATTTTTTTTATTCCAACGATAACCTTGCCTCTGTTTCAGGATCTCTTCTCTTCTTTTGTTATGCGTGAGTAGAATTAGAAGAGAGAGTAAATGATACAATTTTCTTTTCTTATTTTTCCTTCTCTCTCTCTATCTTTCCCCTCTCTCTCTCTGTGTCTGTCTTCCATTCCTTTCTTTGGTATGAAAAAAAAAAGATTTTTTTCAATCAAAATGCTGCTCAGAGAAGGATGAAGATGTTTGTAATTCGTATATATTCTCTTGAATTCCGTACATTTCATGGAACCCATCTGTTCAAACCTTACAGCTTACTTAACGTTCATTGGCCAACTAATTAAAAAGATGACAAAACGGTTAAAAAAAGACTTATTAGGCTTGTGATTCAAGCATTAAAGCTTTCGATAATGAGGAAAAAAGTTGTTCCTCTTCAATCTTTCAACTTCCTCCTTCGCTTTTTTGTTTCTCTCTTTCAAGACTTCCTTCTTCTCTTGAGACTATCTCTTTCTCTTTTAGTCTTCACGTTTCTCCTCCCCCTACTTTCCTGCCTTCCTCCCTCTCATTCTCTCTCTCTTTGATCTCCCTGTTGCTTCTCAATCTATCTAGTTAATCTTATTTTCTTTATTCTTCGTTATCATTCTTCTGATGCTCAGAGCTATAAGTAAGTAAAGAAAAAAATCTTTTCCATGCTAATTGCTTACAAAACACAGCAGAAGCCTTAACTTCTTGTCTTCTCCTCCACCTTATTTATATGGCAATTGTTGTTTTATCTACAAACTACATCTCAAGCGAAACTTTATTTTGCTCTCCTTCCTTCTTCTGCAAATTGGTCAAAAGAAGACGAAATTTCGAGAATAGTTCAATGAATTTTCTAAAAGTTGAAATCCGGATTTCCGTCGGTTCGCCAAAAAAAGCAGAAACGCTAGGGCCATGCTTGTTGAGCGTGAGAAATTGGTGAACTTTAACGACTTTTTTCTTTTTTATTTATTAATTCGCTCTTGTATGGTTGAGAGAGTGAAATATAATTTTTTTTCTTTTCTTGTCTTTCATATTACTTTTGTAAAAGTTTATCTCATTTACGTAGCTAACTCGTGTACAGACAAGTATGTTTCTTGTCTCTCTGTTGCTGAACGAGAGAACTGGAAGAGCAGCAAAACAACGTTAATGAAGTTTCCTAAACAGTTCGTTTCAGTTCAAACGATCTGTCCATGACGTTTTTGGAAGATTAGAAAAAGCTTGAGGAAGATTGAAAAGGCTTGCTCGCCATGTCTTTCTGAAATAAGCAAAAAAAGAGAGAGAATATATACAAGTGTGAAGTTTGAACATCTTATAAACCGGAAAAGATGATTGAACAGAGAGAGAGGGAGGAGAGAGATAGAGAGAGAAGGAGAGAGAGAGAGGGATGAGAGAGGCAGAGAGAAAGAGAGAAATGAATGAGAAGGTTTCTTTCCTAAAAATGAAACAAAATCCATTATAATGGCCTGTACTTGAAATCTATTTATCAGAATAGCCCTCGCAAGCATATTCTGACTTCTCATCAGGAAGACATCGGAAGTTTTCAAGATAATTACTTCTCTAAAGATGTTTTTCTTCACATTTTGCAGAGCTCATGAGAAAAAAAAAGCTTATAAGTATGATATTCATACTTGTTTTTATTTTATTTCATATAATTTTGAAAATAAACATCATGCAAGAGAATGGCTGCTGGTCGTATTCCCTATTTTGGAAGTCGACATAGAGCTTGTTTCTCTTTCTTTCAAGATGTTTTTTGATCGAAAATGATTAAAATTTAATATTTTAATTGAAAATCCAGCATTTGTCTGGCGCAATTCAGATGTCCTTTATGTTTTTGGAGAATTTCAAAGTTTTGAACACAATAATGAGCATATTTAAGTAAGACGCTAACTCGCACCACTTCCTGCATTTCGTTTTTTGGGCTTCTCCTCTTGAGTGATTCTCAGGAACTTGGGGTATTTCTTTTGATCTCTGTCACACGTGCGAGATTAAGCGTCTTTCCACTTCATTTTTGAATTTTTTGACGTAATGAACGGTTGTCTTCCCGCCCTTTCCCTCCTCCCCTTCATTCAACCTCCCCCCCCCTCCCTCCTCACCGCTTACACCCTACCCGTTCTCATTTAAAAATATCTTTTTTTCCACTTCTTTTTTATTTCACTTATAAAACGTTAAGTACAGCTACTGCTGCAAGTGTATCATCTGTGATAACGCTCTGTCTGAACCCTTTCTCTCATTTAAAATTCCTATTCAAATGTAAAGAAATGCGCATTTCAATAGGAAAATGTAGAAGTTTTTGATTTTTTTTTGTTCTTTGCAGGACCTCTTCTCATATTTCAGTGGATTTTATGTCATTCCATGTTGTTTTGAGCTGTTTGAAACATTAATTTCTCTAATTCAACGATGATATACCAAAGATTAAGACAAGACAACATAATATTTATTGATTTAATTAGTATTACTTACACAGAGAGAAAGAAAAACTTTTTTTTATTTCCTCCTCTCATATCCTGCTTTAGCTCATCATTGGACATTTCGTTCATGTTCCTGTGCTTGATGACAACTTATGAAGTGTATGTGTCTGTGTGTGCCTGTGTGTGTGGAAGATAATATGTATGTTATCTCATTATAATGGCTCATTGTTCGTAGTTTGATCGACGTTCACTTACTCGTTGTCTAAGCTATCGAAGATTTTCTACTCAAAACAACGACATCCTTCTTAACATTCTGTTCGACATTTTTCCATTTTTTAAGTGCTTTTTGACCCTCAATGGCAAAATGTTTAACTTGGTCTTTACGCAGCGTCTATAAGCTCTTATAGAGATGTAAGCTTCGAAGACATAAGCCCCGAGGGTATCATCGTCATATCCAAATGCTTGTGAACAAATGAATTTCTTGTGCATAGCAGACATTTTGATAAATTTAAAGCTGAGATGACGACAGTTTCTTCGCTTTTTTTTTTCCAAAAATCGTTTTTCCGAGGCAGATTTGTAGACGAAATAGGAAGAATAGCTCAAAAATGTATTTTCGTTCAATTGTTGACTTGAGAATGGATTGCGAACGAAGACGAAAGATAATTTTTTTATTTTTCTTCTGTTTCAGACAATGGGCAACGGTGTGGATTGTAGCTTCGAACTGACAGCTTACAACAGTTTTCTTTCGATTTTATTTATTGTTGTATTTTCATTGGCTTTACTTGGCAACACCATTGTTATAATTACAATTGTTTGTAAAACTCATCGATCTCGATCAATTACAAATTTCTATTTGCTGAATCTAGCCGTCGCTGACTTATTGAGGTTGGCTGCCTAATTTTTAGAAAAAAAACAAAATGGGTTGAAATAATTTTAGAAGCGTCGTATGCATTCCACCTACTCTACTATCAGAGCTTACTCATTGCTGGCTGTTAGGGCCAATTATGTGCAAAGCTGTAGCCTATCTTCAACGTAAGTTAATTATGATTGTGTTAATTGAAAAATGGATGAATGTTTCAGCTGTAGGTGTATGTGCTTCAGCTTATACATTAGTTGTTATTGCAATCGAAAGATATTATGCCATATGTCGTCCATTAGAATCTCGTAAATGGCACACAAAAGTAAAAAGAAAATAACCAATTCATCAATATCTTTAACATTTTCTTTTCAAGAAACGAGCTTTGATTACAATATCGACCGTTTGGATGTTATCGTTTGGAGCGAATATGGGCTCTTTAGCCATCTTCGATCTCGTTCCATACAGAGCTCAATGGACTTGTGATACTACAAAAGGCTCAACTATTGATTTTATTTATCAGCTCTATGTTACAACCGTAAGTCTGCTCATGCATTTTAGATCAAAACATCCGGTTCTCTAGATTCTATTGTTCGTACCTCTGACATTAATGGTCGCCTTGTATGGTCATGTCATATACACCCTGAACATTGCGATCAACTGTGATAATCCACTACTGGAACAAGTCATTCTAGAAAATGGTTAAAAACAGTATGCTGTTCCATTCTTTCATCATCTTCTTTCAGAAATTCCAATAAAGCCTACTTTCACTGATTGGCTTTTCCAATCGTTTACTCGCGTCTCTTCTCAGAAATATCAAAAGGTTTTTCTTTTTTTGAAAAGAATGAATGTTTTCATTTGAAATGTTTTTGAAGGAGAAAAATTCGCTGTCCATACCTACAGCCAGTCATCAAAGGTCGAGTCGAATGAATTCCATCAACACCTTATTTGGCTCTCCACGAAATAGTTTCGATTCTTCTCTGTTACTCCGCAGTACAAATCAAGTAGAATAACAATTTATTTCTATGAATATCTGAAATGCTTTTTTCAAGGATAAAATACTTTTGGCAAAACGCAAAGTCACTCGCATGCTCATCACAATAGTCATCGTGTTTGCCGCGTGTTGGGTTCCAAGTTACACATGGTGGCTGATAGTTCGAACAGCTGATTTACTTGTTAGTTTTCTGTCACAGTTCTATGTTATAAGACTTCTTTAAAGGGACACAATCTGTGGCACTCAGGATTGAATACATCGTTAACGATACTAACATATATCTCTTCTATGGCTAATCCGATAACATACTGTTTTATGAACAAATCATTCCGTTCATCTGTCTTCTCTTACTGTCATCCAAGACGAAGCAGAAAAGTAAGTTTCACTATCTTTTTTGTTAAAAGTTTACATGAAAAACCATTTTTTGAAGCGCTGCACGCCGGTTCTCTCACATCGAACAGCTTCTAGGGAAGCTGGGGCTGCTAAGGATTTACAATCGCCTAATATTCCACTTATCAAAGTAAATTGAATTTTAATGGATTTATAATTTTCAGTTTTATTTCCAGATTGATTTAGCAATGGAAAACACGATGCATATTTAAAATAATTGTTTTTTGAAAGACAAAACAATGATTTGAAATTTACTGAAAATTGATCTCTTCTCTAAATATTTGCTTCATTTCAATTCTCATTCCCTTTAATTATTTCCCCTTTTCTTGAAACAAAAAAAAGAAAGTTCATCTATACTTGTAAATAGAGAAAAATTAATAAATATAATAATAAACTATGCGATATACAAGCTCAATTAGAGAAAGGGGTCAAGTTGCGTTCAGGTACATCGGCAGTATAATCATGCACATGGTTATAGTATGGATAGTTGGGATTGTTGAATACAGGCATCAGATATTCATAGGCAAATATTAAGAATACAACACATGTTGTATATATCAGACCGAAACAAGTCAATTCCAGAATAGAAAAAGGGTTCTCCTCTGTTATGTCAGAGGCCAAAGACATGTAGCTACCATCTGAAAGGAAGACACATGAACTTGTAATACGCGGAAGTAACCTACTCTTCTTGTGCGAACACATGACAAACTTATTATAAAATTTGAATTTAAAAATAAATGTTTCAATTGAAATCGCAGTAAGACGTAACCAAGTCGATGATATTTCAGCTATGAAATTGAGAAAAGAATGATGGATGCAAGCTTAACTTAGTTGATCTTTTAAATAAATAATTGATTGAAGTTTGGGAAAAATGAGTCAAAATATGCTTCATATGAATTGTGGTGTCGTAGTTTATAGTTAAAACATCTCTTTTTTAATGTTTTTCTCCTACGAGATCATGTCAAAGTAGATTGGTAACAGCTGACAGAACTTATAATACATCTGGATTGTTTCAATCCTTGTGCAAACAAAAACATCAGCACCACTCTAATTTATGATTTTTCACCTTTTTCTCGAACATCTTTCTAATTGATCGTGTAACATTATTTTCTCTCATCAATATTACGACTCTATTTTTAGGGGGACGCTTGGAAAAACATAAAAAAAACGTTTGGTGTTGCACTATTTCTTATTATCGCTTCTAAAATGAAATTAACGAGCAAATCATGAACGTTCTTACGACGCACGTCAAAATTGAATAATGGCTAAGCTGCCACGTTGCACGACCGACCTGCTGTGCACTTCGAACCGAAAATGTTTTTATTGTGCATAACCGCTTAACTCAGAAATGAGGGGGAAGAATGAAAATAATATGGTTAGCACGACCGTTTGAAGAATGCTTCCGGATAGAAATGGATAGTGCTCTTCTATGCACAACCGTTTAACAAGGAGATGATGTATGAGAATGAAAGCATGACGCGCTTTTTCATTCAAATGGCAAAGCCATTCAACACACATGACCGGTCAGTATTAAGTAATGAGCGTATGATGGAAAGTGTGCGTCAATGGAGAAAAAGATATTTCACGTGAATTTTTCAGAAGTCTGTGCTTGACGGCTGGAAGGAATTCGGTTCGTTTCGGCCATTATCGCAAGAAGAGAAATGTTTCATTTTGCAAAAAGTCATAAGAGAATGTTAAATATTTTGGGAACAGGTATTGTTTTCATACTTCTATCATTCACAAGGAATAAATTTGCAAATTCCTGTGTATAATTAATTACTATAATTGATTTGATTGAACATTTTGCATTTTTGAAAGCGTTGAAGAGTTGCTCAAGTTTAATCATTGTAGTAGATTGAATTGTTTTTTGAAAATTCCCTCTTATTTATGACCCACAAGATGATGATGCCGATAGCGACGATATTATAGATTAAAACAAGTTTCCTGACGACGACAATGACAATCGTGAAGATATTCAGTCATCATCCCACCCTCCGTCATAGTCATCGACTTTTCTTGTTTCTCCATTTTCAATGAAAGATTTGGAACAAGGCAAATTTTCTCAAAGAACGACTTAATCAGAAAACTGATATTTATCATTTAACCTCCAAGTGTTTGCTTCGTCATGTTTCTTCTTTTATTAAAATATAATCAATAGTTGTTAAAAAAATACTAATCATTACTTGTTGATTCTACTTTTCATTCAACTTCTTATCAGGATATCATAACGCTAAGTTCTATAAAACTGGCTCAACCACGGTGTTACTCTGAGCGATGGAAAACTTCAAAAAGATTCGCGTAGTTGGTCGTGGCGCATTCGGAGTGTGCTGGCTATGCGAACGTTTGGATCAAGCACAAGGAAAAAAGGTTCTCTTCGTATGAATAATCATTTAACTATGTATTAATCATAGGTTATAATAAAAACGATCCAGCTAGGTCCGGACGATGAACAGAAAATAATGAGTAATGCCTAATAAGCCAGTTGGTTTGCTTATTAAATATAAAAAGAATTTTTAAAGGTGAAGTGAAACTGCTGCAAAAGCTTAAACACCCAATGATCATTGGCTATTATGATTCTTTTATTTTACCTGATGAGAAACAATTGGCAATTGGTAGTATTACATTTCCTGATGACTGATTAGTTTATTTTGAATAGTTATGAAGTATGCTGAAGGTGACACTATGGAGAAGCTTATTGCGGACCAAAATGATAATCAAATCCCATTAGATCAAGCTCTGAATTATTTCACTCAGGTTTCCAAACATTCTCTTCAATTTTCAAACAACTCCCATACTCAGATTGCCATAGCTCTAGATCATATGCATAGCAAGAACATAGTACATAGAGATTTGAAAACTCAGAATATATTGATGAATAAAAAGAGAACTATATGTATGGTTAGTTTGTTCTCGAACTATTCGAATGTTATCTTTAAACAGTTATCAGATTTTGGTATTTCAAAAGAACTCACAACTCGTAGTGTTGCAAACACTGTAATTGGAACCCCTAACTATCTCAGTCCGGAAATTTGTGAAGGTTTGTTCATACTTGATAACTCATTCCATATTTGTTCTTTGCTCAGGAAGAGTTTATAATCAAAAAACGGATGTGTGGTCGCTAGGATGTATCTTATATGAACTGCTCGAACTCAAACGTGCCTTCGATGGTGAAAACTTGCCAGCTATAGTAATGAAGATCACGAGAGTGAGAACAAAAGCATAGATGAAACTGTTACATAACTGCTTTCCAGGGACAATATGCCGAGATTAAGCGACATGATGAAAGTGAAGTTATTCAATTAGTTGATAGTCTGTTGAATTTGAATGAAAACAAACGGCCAACGGTAAAAGGTTTGTTACTCTGTTTTCATCATTTTTATTGCTATTGTTTTGTTCAGAATTATTAACTTGCCCTTTACTCTTACCACACACGTTAACGATTCATCTGGACATTGGGCGACTAACCATGCCTCAGAATTGCAAAGTATTTTGGAGAGTTTTTATTTTTTTAACCAGAAAAATGTGTTTCTAGCAACGGCCTAATGGAACAAGTCGTTTGGGTACAACTCCCACGTTAAGGACAACTCAACGTATACAAATCATCAGAAACCCTTGAACATCTCATTTTCAACTCAAAGAACTCTTTTTGAAAGAATTTGAATGTCTTTCAGCTACAGTCATTCAAGTATCATGTTTTTAAATATTAACTGAGCCCGTAATTCAAATGTGATATGTTTGTAATTTGAAGAAAAAAAAAAGAAGATTAAAATTTCATAAATCGAATTGTATCTTCTTTTTCTTTTTATGCAACAGCTGTTATATCACCTAAACACCCGGGTCGTTTGCTTCGCCTGAGCAATTGTCCATCTGAAACAAGCAAGTTATCTTTCTTTCCTCCTTCAAACTTCAAGCCATTATCATCAGATTTCGTATTGAATTTTCCAAATAATTTTTCTGATGTTCATATATGTTTCAGATGGTTCAGGACATTTCTCTTCTGGCTAAGCATGACTTCAGTTATTACTGCAACATGTGCCGTACCATTCAAGTGGTATCAGCGGCAGTTCAAGTAAAAATTAGTTTATTTTTCAAATGTAATATCTTGCACACTTATAGATCTTACTGATCTGGTCTGAAGCACAGCAATTGAGCTTTGTTCAGTTCTTCATTTATATTGCTATGGTCGGAGGCTTTTTATATCATGTAGCCAGAAGATGGTTTGTTTTTAGTTGTTATTCTCTTTTGATTCATTCTTTTATTATAGGTACGCCAAAATCGATGGAAGATATGACATTCGACAACTTGTTGCTGCCAAGGATTTGAAAACTAAAGCTCAGTATGCTGGAGGTAAGTATTCTGTATCCACTGAATGTACGCGGAAGCGGTTGCATATTGTTTTTATGTTCTTGAATTGATATATTTGTTTGCAGCAGTTCTATTGGCTTTTCCCTTGGCTCTGCTGATATGGAACACAGTGGAATTGGAGAATTCATTTGTACACCTAGTGTTTTATTTATGCAGTTTTATAACTGTCGCTGTCTCAGCTATTCTCTTAGGAATGGAAGCATATGAAGTGTTTGGGAAGAAAAATCAATAAATATCTATCTTGTAGCTTATTTATTTAACGATTTTTTCTCATTATATAGTAATATTAGTGTGAATAAAGTTTTATTTTCGATTTTGTATATTGTGGAGTTCTACATGTTTGAAAACACAGAGCTGTAGAGAGTCCATGAATGGTTACCCCGTGATCAGGTGGCCGAGTGGTTAAGGCGATGGACTGCTAATCCATTGGGGTTTCCCCGCGTGAGTTCGAATCTCATCCTGATCGAA